TGTTGATAGGTGCAATGGTGAGCTATTGGCTCATCCGTCAGTTGGGAGAGCCAAGGCTTTCCACTTGTTCCTGGCCTCTTTATTGGGACAACTGCGACCCCTAGTGGCTTGTGTTGGGCAATTGTGTGTAGACTGTGTCTCTGTATCTTGCCGGGCCGGTATGGAGGAAGCTCCTTTGCTGTGGGTGTGGCCAGCCTCAGGCTGTTGCTCTGCTATGGCCGTGGCCCAGGAGGGGTAATGGATGGGGGGCTGTTTGGCTGTTTACCTCCATGAGGGGTCTCAGAGCTGTTGCCCAGGGGGTTAGTGTGCCTGGAGTTCCCTGGAATTTCCAGCTGCTGGACTGTGACCTGGGATGCTTCCATGCAGTTGTGGGGTCCCTGTCCCTTTAAGACTTTAAGTCTTTTCCCTTTAAGACTTGCACTGTGTGTCTGCACTCTGGTCAGAAAAAAAAGGAGATGAATAGTTGAATGATTCAGAGTTGGACTTTTGACACATGTGTGCAACAGAAGGGTCAGAAAACTTAGAAGCTGGGGGTATTGGAATGATAGGGCATGGTCTAGCCTCGCTAGGAAAACAAGTGAGGAGATGAGGGCTTGGTGGTGAATCAAAGGAGCTCAGAAGTCAGGAGACTAGGTGGACAAGCGGACAGTGGGTAATTGATAGAGAAATTCACGTGCCAAAGGTTGCAGTCAAAGTGGGGTTATTGCATTTCACATTTCAGAAACTGATCAATTCTGGGTGATAACAAGATCAAGGTCTGGCTTTGAGAGAGCTTGACCAAAATGGAGTGATTGAAGGCCAGTGGAGATGAAGAGGTAGAAGAATTAAAGGCCCAGCATCAAAAGGGTCACCTTCCTGGTGGTTGAAGTCACCCAGACTGATAGCAAGGCACATGGTAGAGAAAAATAGAGTAGAGAGTAATGATGAGTCTCTATACTAAATGTTCAATGCAAACTTTCAGTGAATCACATGTACTATTTTCATAATTCTCTTACTTTTTCCTATATTATGTTTGTTTTATATTATTAAAATGCCATTTAATGTCCGGGCAATCATTTCTTTAGAACCTGGGTCCATCACTCAGAACAGCTGAGCACATAGGGCAAGTGCTTCTGCAGTCACGGGCTAGTGGCCCAGCAGTGACCAAGGCCACTGCTGGCAGGAAGCCAAGCAAGCAGGAGAGTCGGGGTCACAGGCTGCCACTGCCACACCAGGCCATAGTGTCACAGGTGACTAACAGAGGCTCCAGGAAAACTAAGGGTCAATTGCTTGGGGATTTAGGAGAACACGTCTCTGCTTTTTCTCTTCTGAAGTGATGTCCCTAAACTTTGGCCTGTCCTGTGTGGGTCACCTCCACCAGTGGCCTCCAGTGCTGCAGCCACCTAGCCTAGAGGACCCACTGAATCCAGCCATCCCTATCCTGCTCACAGTGGGCACTGGGCTCCTGGATTGCTTCCTTTTCCTGGACCTCTCATGTCTACTCACAGACATCGCTGAGCCTCCACATCACTAGTCTAAGCTACAGGCCCTTCTTTCCCTCTATGATCTTCAGTTTTTGGGGACTTTAGAGCAGGATCAGCCTGAACCTTGGGTGTCTGGCATGATAAATGCCAAAGTACCACCCAACAGACGCTTCTTCCAGCTCTGAATTCCATCACTTTGCTGTGGCTAGGTAGAGCTTAGGGGATACAGGCTAATGTATTAAGAGTAAAGGAGTATGGTATCGCCAACTCTCAAATGTTTTTGGAAAAAGCAGAGAATGAAAATTGTTTTGAAAAGGATGATGCATTAAAAGGGGGTGGATTAATTAGCAAAGGTGGAAACCCCCTAGTACAGGACACATTTTGTCCACTCCTTTGCTCTCCTCTGCCTCTTGGTGTGGCAGAAAGATGTTCAGGGTGGCTTCCTCCGATTCTGTGATGAATTTCTTCATTGACACCCCACGCCCGTGTGCATGCTGCCCCTGTCTAAAATGCCTCCCTCAAGTTCATCTAGAGAAGTTGGGTCATACCTTGGTGTCTGTTAGGCATAGTAACCTGCCCTGACTTGCTTTCTAGGGAAAACTGGATCTCCAAGGCCAGTTCTTTTAGGTTTTCTGCTGTCTCCAAGTGCCCCCTACTGACTACAGAAAATACATCCTCTCAGTATGTTTTTCAGCCATGAGCCCAAATGTATAAAAAAAATATTTTCCAAATCTTGGCTTACTACCTAACATGAGCTCCCAATCAATTTACATAATTCAGAATAACTTCTCACCTCCACCAACATCTCCTGAGGTGGCATCAAAGTTCTGGGTGCCAGGACTAACCAGCTGGGGGGAGGCTTGTGCCCATGTTCTTTGTCCTGTTGGAAAGTCTCCCTAGGGCACACCTGCCTCTCAGCTCCCAGGCGGTGTTTGGCCGTGTGTCCCACATCTGTCTGGTTCCAGATACTTCAGGGTCTTCAGGAGATTGTTCTGTGACACCCACTTGCTACCATTTCTACTCTGCCCACCCCATGTGGTCACTGCCCTGTAAAGAGTAGCTACACTTTCTCAGGCACCCCTGTGAAACTAGCTCATCTGTTTGGGGATCCCCAGCCTCACCTGGGGCTTTTCTCAAGACCCTGGTCTTGGCCTAAGGACAGGAAATGTGAAGGGCTCCCACACAGGTTGTGGGCAGGAACCCTCTCCAGGTCCCTCCTTCACGCGCCAGCTTGAGGAAATGGAGCTATGGGAGTAGCAGAGGTGGAATAAGCACAAAAAAGAAAAACTGGCTTACTAGGTTTCTTTGCAGATTTTTTGGTCTTATACCAGAAAATATTCAGCCTTTTCTCTCCTTATAAGTAAACACCAAGAATTTGACATCTTTGTTTTCTGGTCTCATCAATGCCTCTTTGACAACTTCCTCTTGGGTTCTGGTGCCCTTTTGAGCAACCTGGGCTGGGGTGGGGCTCAGGATATGCATGAAGAAATTTAGCATAGACCAGGGAGGACAGACCAAACCACCTCCAGTATTCTCCTGCCTTAGCCACAAGACAGGAGAATGCATCGATTTTTATAGTTTACAAAACACAGGATAGCTTCTACCTTTTGAGATTTCCTTTCCTTGCATCTCCCTTTAAAACATTTTTTTACTTGCTTTTTCCAGAAACATCTGAGAGTGACTTGAAGATGAAAGTCAAGCCCCTTTATCTTAATCCTTTAGTTAGTATCTCCTAGGAAATAAGACATGCTTTTACTTACCCAAAGTACGATTGAATTCAGGAAATTTAACACCGATAACAATATTTTTAAATATGCTCCATATTTAAATTTCTCTAATCCTCCCAATATTTACTTTTATAGCATCTTTTCAATTCAAGAATTCGATTCAATCATGAATTGTATCAGTTTTCTCTTTATCCTCCTTCATTCTGGAACAGTTCTTCAGTTTTTATTTCATGATACTGACATTTGTAAACAGGGCAGGTATCTTGTTTTATAAAATATCCCTCAATTTGTCAACCTCATGACTGAGGGCTGGCATTTTTGGCTGACCAGCACAGTCCTACCCTGTACAAGGAGGCATCTGATACCAGTTTGTCCCAGTGGGTAAAAGGAATTTTGATGAATCTTTTAAAGTGGTGCGCAACAGGTTTCTCCAAGGAGATGCCTTTTTCCCAGGTTGAAAATTAAGAAACTATCTGTGGGAAGATACAATGTGTGTAAATATCCTGCTACCTAACAAGTTCTTATCCAATGGTTTTAGCACCAGTTGTCTAACAATGAGTTAGTTTTATGGTTGCAAAATAGTGGTTTTTCAAACCCTCTTGTCCCTCCTGTATTCATCACTTGCCATTCTACTTAAGAAAGAGCTTAGAAGAATGCATTCTAGGATCTCTCTCCCAGCCCTCCTCTACACCTTCACCTTCTGCTTGAACGTGTTCCCCACCTGACCCATCCTGCCCGTCCTGAAAAGCCCCAGATTCATGGCCACCTTGTCCCAAAGCCTCCCTCACCCCGGTGGGGCAGACGAACCCGCCTGCGTTCTCCCCAGCAAGGTGAGCCCCAGCTGCCTGGCCCTCCTGAGCCCCTGAGGCAGGGGGAATCTGGGGAGGGGGACCCTCCCTCCCGCGGCAGGACTTCCATCCCAACTCCACCTGGGATAGCATGGTGGTGCTCAAACTTTAGTGGGCCCCAAACTCACCTGGAGAACCGGTAAGACACGGGCCCCTGGGCCGTAGCTCTGGGAGTTCTGTGCACTACCCGAGAACCTCACTGCTTAACAACAAAAGTTTGTTTCTCCTCCCAATCATATGTACAGGCGAGTTGGCAGGGAGTCTGGCCACGGTGCTCCCTGCAGGTTCAGGATGATGAAGTCTCTGCCGGTTTGTGCTGTCACCATGTCACACGCAGATGCAGGGGAAGTGTGCGTGGATTGTTCTCTGCTCATAGCCCTCTGGAGAGAATGGATCCTGTGCCTTGCCCATGCACTGCAAAGTGGTTGGGAAACATGAGGATCCGATGGACCATTTGGTGAGCATCAGGGTCTCTGCCTCAACCGTGCTCCCCTTGTCTACTAGCACATAGCCGTGTGGGCCTCCTTTATGTTCCTCAGACACACCCAATACTTTCCTACTGTTACCCCTTTGCACCAGCTACTCTCTCTGCCCCATGTTCTTGTGCCAGATCTCATGTGGTTCACTCAAACGCAAAGTTACGTATTACAGTGCTGTGATAACAAAAGACAAGAATTAACTCAATACCCAGCTGTAGGATACTGGCCCACAGGGGTGTGTATGCATTCACAGTTGGTATGTGATGCTGTGGAACCATACCCAGCCCTGAAAAGGAGGGAACAGCTTTGGGTTCTGAGCAGAAAGTGGTCTAAGGTACAGTATTATGCTAAAAGAAAGGGTGGCCATAACAGTATGTAAAGTATATGGATTTCATTTAATTTCCCCAAAGAGTTGAATACTTTCAAGTCTTATGTAAAGAGATCATCTCAGTGAAAAAAAAAAAATACAAATCAGAACACCAGTGTGGTTTCCATCATATTAATTATTTTATTGGTACTTATTAACAAATAAAATTTTATTGTTGATGTTTGAGGCACCACAACACACTTTTTTGGTAGTGGTTGCACAGTGTTGATCATTTATTTACTATACTAAACACTGCAACCTCCGAACTGCTGATTTTCACGTGGGTGGCTCCTTTGTGATGATGGGGGGCTCCTCTCTGTCGTTACAGGAAGTGGGGCCCTCAGTCCGTGGTTTTTATGTTCTTTTGTTATTCTACCTACTGCTTTAAAATACATTCAAATAAAAAGAGTTGTGTCCCTTCCTTGCACTGGGTGCACATGTACAACCACAAGGAGACTTGGGACATCATCAACCAACACCCTTGTGTTCAGAGAATAAATCTCCTGAAATTGGGGGGCTGAAACTTGCTCCTGGGGACTTTCTCAAGGAATCTTCAGTGGACGTAAGGTTACACTCACTCAAGTGAAGGACACCTCTTTTTGCTAAGGAACAGGGCATACAAAACGACAAGTTCATTTGTACGTGATGCTGTGCCTCCACGAGGACCTGGAATACACGGCCACAGAGCGCGGTGGGGTGCAGTGCAGTCCTCAGACTAGAATGGAATGCCGCAGGCACACTGTGCCCCAGCTGGGAAGGGCAGAGGATGTTTGTTTAAAATACAGCACATACATTAATAAATAAAAGTTCAAAACTCAGTCGGCAACAGCAACAGGCCCAGATTCCCACTCACTTGGGGCTCTCCTCATGAGCACCTCTACCATTTTCCTAGGAATAAAAAGTGGCACAACTGGAAACAAAGGGCTTTGAGGGGAGAAAGTATCTTGTGACCATTCTGTTCTGGAACAAGAGGGCAAAACATGTGGGCATCGAATGGCTGCAAAGGAAGACCACCTACGGGAAAGCACGAGGGCCGGGCCAGGCTTCCAGAGTAAAGCCTGGAGCCCGCGGAACACCAGGGCCTTGTTTCTCCCATGGACTGAGTTAAGAGTATGTTTGGTTGTGGTTCTTGCTATTTTTACTTGTACCAGACTTTTTTCACAATCTGTTCCCTAGTCCCTTTCCTTTTGATCCCATTGTGAAAGTTGTCTTGAGTCTGGTTTAATCATTTTGGTGGCGACCCTGGGTCCCAGAAATAAGCTACCTTGGCGGCTTGGTGTGTTTGAAACTTGTCATAGAGCCACACAGAGAGCGTACACTGTGACTTCCCATCTAGTACCATTACTTAAAAAATAAAAAATATATAAAAAATGAAAAAATATCACACAGAACACACAGTGGCTGCTGAATAGTGCAGTGGGAGTATAAATACATTCTCTTTCAAGTCAGATGTCTGGCCTGACAGCTGATTACAAACATTGAAGGATGACCTCACGTTGAAGACATGGAAAGAAAAAGTCACACCTCAAAACAGAAGCGACTGTCCACTGGTACAGAGCAGTGGAGGTCTTGGAGAAGCTGGGCCACCCGTAAAAGGAAGTGTGGCCCTCCAATCCTGAAAGCTACATGTGGCTGTGGACGGAGGCTCCTTGCACTGTTACAGGCTGAGTGAGGCAACGTGCCTGACGACACTGGGTGGCAGAGGCACTGTGCCCCATGCCCAATGACAGCACTGGCAGCCAGCCACGAATTCACTGGTTTCCTATCCATGGGATAAGAACACACTTGGGAGTTTCAGTGCTTCTCAAAGGAAAGGAGAAAGGACACCTGCCTGCCCCTGTCCCCAGGCCAGCACAGGCAATGTCCTCAGGAGAGTGAGGACAGTGCTGGGCTCTTCCTGGGGCATCTGCAGAAAAGGCAGGGCGGATACAAGGTCCCCAAGTCCTCTGTACACATTTTATAAAGTCTCCGCTCTTCCCCACTAGGCACAAGGTTGATTTGTCTAGCTCAGGATGGGATGAGCAGAGGAGGGAAGAGGGCGAGCGTGCAGTGCAGGAGGAAGACAGGGAGGCAGGAGCCAGACTGGTCTCCTCCGGGAAAGGGCCCCCATCCCAGCCTCCCAGCCTCACCGTAAGCCAGTTTGTTTGGGAAGCTTAGCACCCATCAAGATGCCTGAGGCAAGAGTCACGGGGGCTTTCATCTGCATGCTGGACCCCACCATGGTGGGGAAGCTGCGGTTCCGTCGGATGCCGCTGTGGAGCTGCAGCCCGCCGATGGCACTGCTGACCACGGGGCATCCGAGGGGCAGGCCCTCAGGGACCAGGCCTCCAGGGACAAGGGCCGGTGCTGGGCCCGGCGGCCCGCAGAGAGGCCCCTCATCCTCAGTCAAGGTGGGGACATGGGCTCGTCCCGAGTTCACCACTTTGGCTACACCAAACCTCCTGACTTTGTCCACGAGGTTGAGGTTGGAGACTGACACATCCGTCTGGCTTTCACTGCTCCGGACATTCTTCTTCTCCCTCACCTCCCTCAGGATGGAGCTGGCCGGCTTGGAAGCCAGAAAGTTGTCATAGGGAGGGCTCGTGCACTTGAACTCGAAGGAGGGTGGGGAGGATGTGGGTGTCTGCATAGGTGAGTTGGGTGGGGTGGAGGGGATCACAGCCATCCTGGGTGTGTGGGAGTGCAGGAGGGAGCCCCTGCCGGCCCTGTCCCAGCTCTGGGGGTCATACACAGCCGCGGAGATGCCCCGCTCCTTCAGTAGCCACACCAGCCCCAGAGACGTGCTCATGGTGGTCGTGGACTCACGGATGTTAGTGAAGGATTCTGCCAGGCTCAGTCTCCGTGGAGTGCACGGTGTGGCCACTGGCGTGGACTTCAAGTGGCTGGCACTGCCACAAGCTGGAGTTGGGGCTGAGTTAAGGCTGAGAGGAAAGACAATAGGTCATTCATCAGAAAGGGACCCTGAGCACCCACAAAAAGGGCTGGTAGCCAGCATCCTACAGGGGCACAGGGCAGGTCCAGGACATGAGAGGATTCCCCCAAGCTCCCAGGTACCTCTTTTCATGTCCGCTAATCCTCTCACCCATGGGGGCCTTGGGGTCCCTGAAGTGGAAGCATGGCTTAAGTTAACAGGAAGCTGTGCACAATTGCCTTCTCTCAGTTCTGGAAGGTGGGTGTAACAGGTGGGGGAACCGAGGCTCAGAGTTAGGTGGCTTACTTGCTATCACACTCAGCTATCAAGATCCTGGATTCTAACCCAAATCTGAGTGACCCCAGTGGGAGGAAGCCCTTTGGCAGAGAGGCATTCTTTCCCTATCAAATTTACTCGAATTCCAGCATTCCTTCCTAATACCTGCTTCCTTGAGGCAAGCAGCTAACCGGGACTGTGGGCTAGGAGAGTTTATCCCAGGAATGGCCACAGCAGGTGGGACATCCAGGTGGAGGGCCCTTGGGTGACGGGCAGGCTGAGGCTGAAGGTGCATGCCGAGTCAGCAGCAGACCCCGGCCTCCCGGCTCCACTACGGTGCTCTTCCCTCTATGCTGTGCTGCCTCTTCACCCTCCTCCTACGGTTGCCCAACTCCACCCCGAAGCATGTAGTCACAGGGGCGGAGGAAGCCATGTCATGTATTACTAGGCCCACTTGCAGGGAGCCTACTGGACAAAGGCCACTGGCGTGCGACAAGTGTGTTACTAAGGAAGCAGCAAGAGTCCTTCATCCATGAGTCATGCTGACTGAGGCCTCACCATGTTCTAGGGAGGTAGGACAGAAATGAGTAATAGGGCAGCAGAGGAAATGCTCTGCTGTCTGGGTAAGGAGCTGGAAAGGCCCTCTTTACCAGCTGCTCCAGGGATGGGGTGAAGCTTCACAGGCACGGAAGCCCTGCAAGGCTGCTGGGTGGGCCACCCGGGGCAAAGCTGCACATCCCCTGACAGTGTTATGGGAGACCTGCCCAGGCCCCTGCCCGAGCACGTGGTGCAGGCTGCAGGCATCCCGGGAGCAGGACGGGCAGCAGGGTGGTACCCAGGACCAGGGGATGGAGCCCTCTCCCCCCAGCCTGTAGGGGGAAGGCCAGATAAGTGGGGCAAAGCGCCAAGTGGGGGAGGGGAAAGAAGAGGCCCACTTGGGAGCAGGTCCCTGCAATGACCGGAACGGGGCTCCTCCTAAGGAAGGGGCAGTTCACAAGCAGGCAGAAGCTGAGGCATCACTTGGCTCCGCACTCAAGTGACCTCACTGCTGCTAGTCAGCACAAGGTGAGGAGCACAGAACAGGACTGTCACGCGAGCTCAGGGCGGGGGATGCCTGAGGGTGGGGAGTACTGAGAGAGACATGAGGTTAGAGACCACAGCAGACGCCTAAAGTTAACAGGTGCGCTCTTCAAAAGGCACAGGTGGAATTCCACAAAATGTTGGTGTATAGACAATAGAGGGCAAAGACGTGCTGGACTTAAAATCCTGTTTGTAGGGTCATTCCAGGGAGATTTTCAATTTTATTTCAAGCTGTCATTCTTTCAAACTCAGGCACAAACCTCTTACTATTGGCTGCCCAGGCTTTTTTGGTCCTGACAAGGCCCTATGGGCTTAGAGATGAAGACAGGTATAGTTTTGAGTCCTATGACTACAGTCAGAAGAGCACCAGGGCACCAGTCTCTCTGGGGGAAGCTCTGTCTATGGTTTTAAAAACAACATCTTCAAACATAAAGCTACAGGATGGGGAAGTTGGGTTCTTCAAAGGCAGGAAGGGAGACAGAGTAGACAAGCTATAATAATGTAGAGGCATCCTTCTGGGGCAAACTTTGGTTAGGCCTGTATTAGTGCCGGCACTTGGCTCAACTGGGGCATTTAGATAGGTTAGGGGCATCCACAGTCAAGGCCATGTTAGGCAGGCACAACCAGAGACACATCCATGCCTAGGTCCTGGGTTAGTGGCGGCCCTGCGCGCACACACAGTTCTGTCCACGGGCCCTGCCGGGCAGGCCTGCTGCGGCGTGCTCACCCCCTGCCTCGCCTGTGGGCTCACTCTCTGCCCTACACCTCCTCCCAGCTCAGCGGGGCATAGGGCTGCTTCGTCGTCCTCCTCACTTGACCTGCGGAGAATGATTCATAGTTTAAGGTGCTCCTTGGGATGGCTGCTCCCTCTGAGCAGGCCTGCTCACCTCCCTCCCCAGCACTGCCTTGGTTACACTACAGAGGAAATGGCTGAGGGGGGTCACTTCAGCATGTTAGGGGAGACCATTTTCTCTTTCACTGGAAGCCGTGGAAGGCCCGAAGTCAAGCCCAGCAGACTCTCGCGTGCCAGATGCTGCCAACCTCGCCAGCTTCTTGGAGGCACCGGAGGGAGATGGGCCACGCTGTGCACGTGGCTCAGGGTCCCCACCTTATCATTTCAGTCATGTCTGTGTGGCTGTGGTGCATGGTCCCTGTGGTCTATTCCAGAGGCCTAGGGGCTTCCACAGAATATAGCTCCGTTCTGTGAAAGAGCTCCATGCTCTACTAGCAAACTTCGGGGCAAAAGCCAGATTGGGCCTTAGGACCTGTGGGAGTGTCCGCTTCAGCTGGTTGAGGAAGAGCCTGAGAACCCTCCCTGGACAACTAAAAGGGAAACTAAAGTTGGGCCCAGGTCTCTCTGCACTGGATCTACTTCCATGGGGGCCTCAATCAAATGGAAAGATGATGATTCAAAAGCCAGTACCAGTGACTGCAAGTGCTTCAAGATCTTCTGGTGGCCCGAGCTGGTTTTTTGAATGAGCTTGTCTATTTTGGCTCTCCTGAGCATTAAGTCTTGCAGGGAATGCCCCGACCTCACCACACCCCTGCCCACTCCAGGGCCAGGCCCCTTACCTTGGCGTGACCCGCGTGAGCTCATCAGAAGGATGCAGGATGCGACAGGTGGTGAAGGTGAAGGTGGAGTTGGTCTGTGACATGCACTTCCCAGGGTGGTGTGCTAAATTGGGGGGAACAGAATATATTCCTTGCATCCAAGTGTACCCATGAGAAAGGTAAAAATCCAGCCCAGTCCTCAACAGACGTTAAGAAGCAATGAGCTACCTTTTTAACTGGATCTGGGCAGGAAGGTGAAACACAGATGTTCTGTATCGAAGGTGGTTCCTCAGAAATAACCACACTTTTGAGCACTGTGCAAAGCATCGAATTCCAGCTTCCAACCCAGTCCAGACAGGGTCCCCATCAGTGTTCTGTGGCCAGTAGTGGACCCAGTTTGAGGGGCTAATGGGCCCTTGGGGTCAATTTGGGTTCCCTCCTTCAGAGGTCAGAATAAGCTTCCTTCATTGGCAGACAGGTGTCAGAGTGGGGGGGTGAGGGGAGGGGTGCAGGGCAGGGAGGGGCGCTTGCTGTGACGAGAAAGGGCTTGGCCAAGGTGCTCCCTCTGCTGTTTGCATGAAGAGGGGCTCGGGGAAGCTGGCTCCACTACTGTCTGTGGTTGGCAGGGTGGGAGATGGGATCTCAGCTGCCTCAGCAACAACGCCGCAAGAGTCCAAGAGCCCAGGGCTCTCTGTGGCGCTGAAACTCTGGGATCAGGTCTGGTGTGATGCCCTGTGGTGGGAGCAGCCAACAGTGACCCCAGGCCGCTGTCTTACCATCTCTAGGATGTCTGATTTTAATGAACATGTATGGGAACATGTTGTCCTCAATTTATTTCCTTTTAAGCTCTAAAGAGTTGTTGTTAAGGCAGTTGTGACTATGATCTGGAGCAAAGTAAATCACAGAAGCATCAGGACCGTGATCAGAATGCTGGAAAGAGGTAAGTAGTAATGAGTAGTCAGTGGGACACATCATGATTGTAGGTCATCCTTGTTCATAACTCAAATGTAAAATAAAACAAAAAATTAAAAGAAAAAGGAAAAACAGATGCCGCTCCAAACAGCATGCACGGTGAGGAGCCGGGATAGTCCCGCCCACCCTGCCCAACCCCAGCCCTGCAGCAGCTCAGCCCCCAGAGACCTCCTGGGAGAGACCCATCAGCGAATCAGAGGCCATGAGCACTCTGAAGATTCAAAAGGCTGTGAATTAGAATCTTCTACCTCTTTACGTCAAGTTCTCTCTTGGATTTGACAAAAAGGAAAACAAAACAGAAGAGACTGTTTCGAAACCTACAGGTCTACACACAGGTGACTGCGTCTTAAAAAAAAAAACAACCCAAAAAACAAAACAACTGAAGGCAGGCAGGACAAAGCCAGAGGACAAAAAAGGCGGTGGCGCTGGAGCAGCAAAGAGGGCTCATCTGCCCAGGACGGTGGCCCGGGCGGCCTCCTGGTGTCCAACGGGCTCTGCGGCCCTGGCCTGGCAGCCAACCCCAGCCCCCGCCCCACTAACTCTCAGGCCCAGGGAGCTGGACCCAGCAGGGCAGGAGGGCGGGGTGGGACACACATAAAAACTGCCTTCATGCGTCTTGTTTCTCAACCAATCAGTGTAATGGTTTGGGAACTCAGGTAACTGAGAACTTGCTGCAAGCGAAAGAAAAATGAAACAAGCTATGAAGGAAGGGGAACCAAACAATCACGACTCTGACTGTGTAAGGTTTAGAAACAAAAGCAACAAAAAGCCTGAGAAGAGCATCCCAGACAAGAGGCATGAGGGTTATTTGGAAAGAAGGAAAGAAAAATGCAGTACATAGAATTAAGACAAGGCAGTTGAAAGATAACATTAGAAAAATCAAACAAAGGCAAGGTTCGATTTAAAATTAGAAGCGTACCCCACAAATCAAAAGGTCACAATGTTCGTGTCCTCCTCCACCCTGTTACATATGGGATCTTCAATTACAACAGGTGGTGTGAGATGGACATTTTAGGGACACAGTTGCATCAGCAGAAGCAAAACCCATCTTATGCAAATGGGTTTTGGGACTAGGAAGAGGCTGCTAAAATTCAGAAGTCATCATTCCCCAGAAGCAAGGGATAGCTTTACAAGACTGAGGAAGATCAACAAGTATCAAAAGCGCCCAAGCCAGAGGTTCAGCCCCTCCAAGATACCACTGGGATGCCTGGGCCGGCCAGCTCTCCGCAGTCACCAGTGCCTGCCGGGCTGCTGCAGCGCCTCCCTTCCTTGGGACACAACAACAGAGGCAGTGAGTCGCCCAGGCCCCTGGTGCTCACCACAGAGCCACTGCGGGCTGAAGCCTAAAGCCCTGCGTGCAGGAGAGGGCAGTTTTCTCAATGCAAGAGGCATGTGACACATTCGTCTTGGGGAAGCAGGGGGCTCAGGGTGAAGGCTCACCACTGAACTCCCAGGTCCCCACCCGGCACAGAAACCCTGCCTCAGATGCTGTGTGCTTGCCTTGTGCTGCTCGGCTGGGGCCTCCAAGGCCAGACTTTCTTAGATTTCCTACTGAAATCCTTACTCTTTTTCTCATTCTCACAGGATGACCTCAGAGGGTTGTGAGGAGAGAGTGAACAGGTCAGAGCCTTAACACTGACAAGTGTTCTTCTCATCGAATACTTTATTTCAGAATGAACTTACATTTCCAGAAAAATGCCTGATCCTTTATTATTTTTATTTGCTCCTTCTCCCTCAGGACTAACATTGCACACAATCCTAATCTATCAAAGATAACCTTTAAACTTAATTAATCCTTGATTATCCAAGATCTTCTGTGTTGGCTAACTACATACAGGTGGTGAGCGTGCAGATTTTTCACTGAAAACATGCCAACAGCTTGCAAGCTGATTCAGCTGGCTGCAGGTGGCGCAGAGTTGGAGGGCTTCATCAAGGCAGAACTCACCCCGCTCAGTTGTGCCCTCTGATCTGACTCTGGTGTGCTTTCTGCCTGGAGCAGGTGCACTTGGTAAATGGTACAGAACAGCTGTGCTCCCCTGGGGGCTTGTGGTGCCTGGTACTGACTAGAAAGCTGGTTCCTGGGATCTTGCTGCCACAGCCAGTCATGAGGGTACCCTGACCCAGCTCCCAGCCCCCAGTGAGTTGGGGTTTCCTCCCTGGATGTCCCTGTGGACTGCTCAGGAGTTATCCTCAAGCATGCTATGTAGACCACGGTTGACTAGTCTTGGTGGAATGCTCAGGCCTCCAGGAGAGACAGGTGGAAAGCCCCCTGCTCTCGCCACAGCCCACTGCTCTACTTGTGAGAACGGGAAAGGTGCATGGATAAGGCCAGAATGCTCTGGCAGGGACCTGAAGGATTGAGGCTGTCAGTCTGGCCATCCACTAGCTACGCTTTGTATACACCAGCCCATGCCTTTCAGTTAATCCAAATGATGCTTTCCCTCCCCCATCCATAGGGAAGGCAGGCTGCTAATATGCTGGGAGAACAGGAACTTCTCTTTCTAAAGTGGCACCCAGTCCTAAAAAGAGCCCGCAGCTGAGCCCACACAGATGTCGGAGTGCACTTGTGCACAGCGATTCCTGCAGGGAGTTGCAACACACACATACAAGGCAACTTTAAAGGGTAACTCCGAGGACAGAGAAATGCTGGCATGCCACACATCCAACTGTTTTTTTGCTTGCATACATAACTTCTTAAAATGTGAAAAAAAATTTACAACACATCTCAAATCTTGGAAAAAGGGACTCCACACTGAGAGCCTTCTATGTTCTTTTCCCTGTTCTTCATGGGAAGTCGTCAAACTTGGGTAAAATACCCTTGACTTTTGCCTTTTCTTAACTTCAACATGTAGTGTGAAGCTGCTGTCATGTGATTTGATCTGCTTTGCAATTTCTGTAAACTCATCAGCCAATGCGCGCGCGCGCGCACACACACACGGACGCACCCACACTCCACCCCCTCCCGTAATTACTCCACACACATCAGCAGTGGCACCCACAGGCCAGCCTTTTCTATCCATGCAAAAATAAACCTATTGGAAAGAAAAGCCATTGTCCATCCAGTTTAAAGGTGTGGTTTGAACTACACTGTCAGAACATCAGTACCTTTTTTTTTAAACCTTTTTCCCAGCTTCTAATGACTTCCTTGTCTTTTGTTCAAGGCTGCACTGGGATGGGGGAGGGGCATTTCTTTACCAGCTGTGTGCCCATTAAAAAAAGACAAAAAGCAATGGTTTACAGTTCTTCCTTAAAGACAAAGATACCAAGGCATAATGCTTTGAAGACTTTTTCTGTTACTTCTTTATATAACACTGCCCATTAATTTTTCTGGGGGAAAAAAAAAGTTCTATGATGAGTTCATGTGGGAAAAGCTCCATAGAATCTTTGCCCGAAGGTCCATCATTAACATAAATAGTGTTTGGCATTGATGTGGCTTTAACAAGTGTGCTCCTCTGGGAGGTGAAGAATTAAGAACAGGCCAGATACACATTTCAGATATAGTAGTGCAGCTTTCTTCCCTTGTAAAAAAAAAGGAAACTGATTATTTAAACCATGGAGTGTTACAAATGGTATTTTTTAAGCCCTTAGTTCCAGGTTTCCCACTGGCCGGGTAACTCTTTTTCTCTGCTTCTTAAGCATTTCTTCAACAAAGCCCTCCTCACCAGTCCTGCAGCCCTACAAGGACCCGAGTCCCTGCTACAGACACCCGGTCTGCAGGCATGAGAGGTTTCTGTCAGAGATTTTGAATCAGATCACAAGATCTTCTTCTGGTTTCTGTACACTTTATTTTTAATTCCTACAAAATTAAAATAATTAAAAGTCTACTCTTCCCACTACATCAAGCTGTCTGCTTTCTGTGTCATCTAAAAAGTATGTGATTTAACAGATGAACAATCTCACTGTACCGTGCAGGGAGGGGCAGAAATTCCCTCAGGTAGCCCAGGAGGTATCTTCTGAAGAAAAAGGAACTTTTTTAGAATGCAGTTGAAATATCAAAAGGGAAAAGGCAAAAGTCTCTCCGTAGCTTTCAGATGCCATTACCAAGCCCCGTGCCCTCTGTCCTCAGCCCTTCCGTCTGTGACAGACACCGGCAGGCACGGGAAGCTGGCCGGGCTAAGGTGCATCAAGATCTCTACTGGCCGCAGCTTTGGAAGCCAGCCCAAGGGTGCACATCACCCTGGTCCCTAGGTGGTGCCACAAGATATCTCCAACGCCTGCACCCACCTGTGTGCTCCCTCAAGGGCCCCGCCACTGACCAGTGTCACATGCATTCACCAGCTCCCCCGCAGTCCATGTGGGGCCTCTCGGAGCACTGGAGGCCCTCCTTTGGTCGTCAGGAGTGAGGCTGTCTTAGAGAAAGTGCTCCCAAGCAGGCTTTGTCTGGGACGTTTTAAGCAGGGCTGACTCTAGGCCTTTTGTCTGGGAAAAGTCCCTTCCTTGTTCTCCACTAGTCCTCCCACTGCTGGGCTGCAGTTGGCCTGCCTTGCTCTGTTGTGATGTATGTTCTGACACAAGAATGCAAGGGCTTCCTCAGCATCTCCTAACACTGGGTGTGAGCAGCCCTCTGCTCTGTCCACAGAGGCTAAAGTCTTGGAACTACTCCAAACGTGGGCTAGACTGAAAGGCCTTCCCACCAGAGCAGGAGCTCACCCAATGGCCCCTGCCCCAAATGGTGCTGGGGGGCCCCTCGGCCCCCTGCACTTTCCTTCGGGCTCCTTTCCTCCACAAGTTGTTCCACCCTTCCTTGCTCAGTCACCACTCCTGAAAAGACCCTGGACCAATGTATCAAACAAGTAGCCTACAAAAGAAGCCGATTCAGGGTCCTTGCCTCTGGGGCTGCAGCTTCAGGGAATTGTCAAGGGCTGTTTTGACTATATGTGATTTTTGTGGATCTCACCTCCACAGCAGGGCCACTGCTAGATAGGCTGCCAGGATTTGTATGAGCCTGTTTTAGGTATTTCTTCCCCAACTTGAAATGGTCTCCACTTGTATGAGTATTAAATAAACTGATCTTTGCTTTCCTTTATTTATGCTTCTTTAATCCCACATCCTTCTTCCCTTTAAGGGTCAAAGCACCCAAGGTAATTCAGCTAAGATGTCTGTTTAACCACTCATCTACCAACCTAACTGTGTGAATTTAAAACTCTGACCTTTATCCTTTACCACCTGCAGGCTCTTCCCTACACATACATACCTAAAATTCAGAACACTGACAGCACCAGATAATGCTTATTTCTGATAGAATAAACATGAATAAAAACATAAAATATATCACTGAAATAAAGTAGAACTATAACCTAAAGACTGTTTTAAACAATCCATTTTAAATATCTGAATTATTTACAAATATAATAACAGGGAATCATCCTTTAGAGGACATGGGATTATAAAAACCAGTAAATGATGATATAGTAATACATTGAAATATATTAATATTTGTTTTCAATATTCAAAATTTTTTCTCTATGAGTTAGAAAGTTCTGCACAGAATTGAGTAATAAACAAGCCTCCCCAGTTTCCTCCCATAATACCAGTTGCAAGGAAAAAGGATAATCACCTGACTTCAAAGTTTCTCGCTACTAAGTCTTTCCAGGTGGATGGCAGCTCCTGGGATGGTGCTATTTATAGGCCACAGAAAAGTCCAAGTTCAAGGGTAGACCAAGGCAGGGAACAGTCCAGCCCAGATACAAATCCTAAGACAGAAGATGCCCAGACCTTCCTGCCGAAGCTTTTCTATCTACCTGTGACTCCAAGGTTGTGTACATAGTGCCACTCAGGGCCTCTGGGATAATTTATTCAAAGTGACAGGGTTATCACATTCCAAAAATCAAAATGGTCCTGTCACTCCTAATACAGAAAAGAGAGCCAAATTATTGTTTGCACCTTTCCCCTGTGCAATGAATTTTTAATAAGTCTTATCCAGAAATGAAGCTCAAAAGAACTCTTGTCCAAATGATCAGACCTTTCCTAAATTACCTTCAGCAATCTATATTATTCATTTTGATCACACATTTCCAACTACAGATTTGTGTGCCTCTCCTCAAACAAAGTTTCTGGCCTGAATTTGCTGCAGGTTTAAGTAAAGAGAGAAGAGCAATATGTATGTTTCCATTTGTAGTCAGGACTTACGTCCTCCTAACTGATCCCCTCTCTCCCTCTGCCTTCCAAGAAAAGTTCTTGGCTGACTTATTCATCAATTTATTCCTTTGTACAGCTTCCCAAAGATGCACCTCGTGGTGCTTTAAACTTACAGAATTCATCTTCTATTCCACCTGCAGGACTGCAGGAAGGGGTGACCACACTCAACACAGTTCTCACCCCTTCAGCCACAAAATTCACACTGCTTCCTGCACCGTTTCTGCCTCCTACCCAGGGCACCAGTGCCGACAACCAGGACAGGAACAGTACTGCTGCTGGTTTCTCCATTAAGTGTGAAGACACTGAATAATAAACATTTTCATTTTCATGCCCTTGCATGGTTAATCTGGTAACTGAAATTGCTACAAAAAAATCAAAGCATAAATAAACTATATGCTAAACCAATACTTTTTACTTGAAGATGCCTCTAAAGTTTACATCAAAGAAAAGAGAAAAGCTGGTCCCAAATAAAGTCCCTTGGCCACAGGCATCTGAACTTATCCAGGGGTGGAAAATGCCACCGTGAACCTCTATTCTCACCTACCCTGTACTGTATGGGGAGTACTGTGGCCTTCACAAGTGAAAATGATGAGTAACAAAGATGAATGTCCTCTCCTCAAATATGGTGACTTGGGAACGTTGTGAGATGACAATATTGGGTTAATTCATCTTTTTATGGGTCTCTCCCTTTATCCCATAGAAAAGCCTCCTTGTCTTTTTAGCACAAGCAGCCAGATGGTCTAGGGAGCCCAGGGCAAACAGTAACCACGTAACTTCTGACATCCCCGGGCCTGGCATCCCAGGGCCCTGAACATAAAACTCTTCATTCCAGTGATGCCTAGGATGTGTGAGTGATTTGCAAACTCCTGGTCACACCTTTAATGCTTGGTAGGGTTGAGGGTGGGTTAAGCAGTTGAAACTTTTCCAACTTCATTTGGAGTCCTCTCTCTGGAAAAGTTTACTAACATTCTTTTAGGATTTACTGGGTTAAGAAGTACTGCTAAAACACTTTTTAAAATATCTATTTTAAACACATGTGTAAGCTGGAAGGAAAACATATACTGTCATTGAAGTTAGGAAAGTGAAAAGGCTACCTATCAAGTGTCTGAACCCCTGAGCACATCCTGAGCTTCTTCCTACTTTAATGTGTCTCACAGGTAACAGGCTCTCCTTCACCTTCTGAACAATCCAGCACTCACAGTTTCCCCTGAAGCTGCCCGACTTGGCTCAGCTCAGTTTGGCAATCACCAGGGGACTCAAGGGTCTGCCCCTCAGACAGGGAGAGAGATACCCACTAACAGGAAAAGGGGAGCCGATGTCATGTGGGCAATAATCCACTTCTCTTTAGCAGCCTTTCCTGCTCCCGCTTCAAGAGCCCTGCTGGGCCATGCACTCCAAGATGGGCAGGGGGCTATACCCATTAAGTTAAAAACAAGGAGGCATCAGACTCTGTATTAAAAAACAGAAATGCACAACGGGAATGCTTTAATCATCACCCACACAGACGAGTGGAAGCTACAGACAGAGAGCCACTATGGATGGTGCTCGGAACAGAGGTGACAATGGCCCAAAACTCCACCTCCAGTAAAGGTGCCAGATTTACAGGCCTTATCGTGGTGCCCTCACCATACCCCTCCTCCTCCTCCTCCTTCTTGGCCGCTGGCGGCTCCCGCATCTCTTCTGGGAAAGCCTGAGGCTGGCTCGGGTAACTTCTGCTGCCTGAGACAGTCACGCATACCTGGGACCTCTCACCTGAGGTCTCTGGGTGCTGAACTGGCGTGGAGGTAGCTAGGCTCGGGAGGGAAATACGGTCACCTGTGTCATCTTCTTCAAAGTCGTTAAGGCAGTACACTTCATCCAGGTCAACGTCCAGGGTCCGGAAGCCCTTGGTCACCACACCGGGCCGGGGGTCCAGGATGCCCCCGAGGTGAGGCTGGGCCAACTGCTGCCAGTGGTGAAGGGTGGCAGAACCTTGCAGAGAAGAGGCAGAGATGGGGAACAGGGAGAAGAGAGGATTAGGATGGAAGTCTAAGCTGACAGCTGCTCACCACCCTCAACATGTGAAACATGAATCCCAGCAGGCCCCCAGCTGCACAGGTGGCCTTTGGTAGGGACCCTGATGGGTGGTCTTTGCCCTTCATACTGTGCACCAGGCACTAGAACCCTACCATGCACAGGAAGGGCAGCAATTTAAGGACTCAAAATTCATTTCTTACAAAGTAAAATTAATGCCATACTGTGTGCCAAGGATGTTTGGTGACAACCTATTATAATCGACCCCAAACCCAACAAAGAATCATCTTATAAGTAGAAGAAAAAATAAGCAAGCAAGCACCAAGGGGGGTAAGTGCCGATTCCAGGCCAAGGGAGTGCTGCTGCTGGAAACGGGAAATGCAGCAGAGGTGGAGCAGGACAATGTCAGACCGACCCCAGGACCCTGAGGGAGCAAAGCGGAAAGAATGTAAAGCCACAGCACACAGAGGTAAGTGGCAGGCATGACAGTGGCCTCCTTTACTTAAGTTTTCTGTATTCTGCCAACAAGCCTGAGAGGCTTCAGGTTTGGAGAGAGGAACTCTGGCTAACGAGGTGTGATTAAAGAACATGGTAAGTCCACACAGAGGTCTGAGGCAGAGGAGCAGATTTCCTCAGTGATACCAAACCCTGAAACTCAGATGGTATCATGCAAGGTCTGTAATAACACCGGAGTGCGTCCCTGAGGACCTCGAGGGTGACACAGCTGCTCACAAAGAGAAGTGTTCCAAGACAAGTGTGCTTAGGAAACCCAGGTTAAGAAGGGCATTTACTGAGGAACATCTCAGAACCTTTAGTATGTTGCTGTGTCCTGGGATTCTGCCCATCCTATTTGTCAGAGCAACCCTTTTCCCCTCTGAAACACTTTTTACACCCCATATGGCCCTGGTATTGTGGGTACAAGCCCATGAGGCTGGGCATCTATCCCCATTCCACAATTAAAGAAGAGGGCCATGCAAATAAATATTCTACACTTGACAGAGACTTTGAGAGAGTTTCTCAGCTATGAGAACGCATACATGCTTCCCAGTCACTGCTGGTTCACCAAGGGTGCCCTCTGTTGGGTGGACAAGAATCCGTCCAGGCTACCAGGCTGCCCTAGGAAATGTCAGAAAGGGGATGCCAGGGGCCAGCAGCTTAGGAGTCAAGAAGAAAGAGACGAGAAAAAGAGGCAGGCACTGGGGTCAGGGAGCAGCAGATGAATGTGAATGAGATGCGGAGAACTCATGCTCATCAGGGGCTCCCAGACTCTCTGGTGTGCTCAGGGGATACGCTGCCTTCTAAATACCACTGGAAGCAAATTCTCATGGGATAATCTCAGCCAAGAAGTCTTGTAAATGGGCAATTTCAAATCCACTTAAAATAAAAAAGTGTACACACTGCCAACACATGTTTACAAGAGTTCCTTGACACCCACTTTGAGGTCTACCCCAGTCTTAAACATTCACAAATACAATAGCAACCTACTTAACCCGAATCTATTGAATATAAATAGAAAATATTCTATATTCTAAATGCAAACAAGAAGGTAACAAAGAGAGGCATATAAAGAACAAGGGCATCACACACCTGTTCTCTCACTACATGGTAAGACAATCTAAGCAGTGATTCTCAACTAGGGACAATTTTAGGACCCCCAGGACATTTGGTAACATCAGTAGACATTTTCAGTTGTCACAACCATGGAGGAAGAGAGGGTAGCTAATGTCATCTAAGTGGGTGGAGGCCAGGCATGCTCTCCATCCTACAGTACCCAGGACAGCCTCCACAACAGAGAATGAACAGGGCTAAATGTCAACAGCACTGAGAATGAGAAATGCTACCCTAGAGCTGTGGGTCTCAATTCTCAGATCCTTGAGAATCTGCAGGAAGTCACAGACTCTATCCCCAAAGGAAACTCTCACGTAAGCACAATGTGCGTAAACGGCCAGCGCTTTGCAGACACACTGAACCCAGTTCATGGGATCCTGAGTCCTAGGGGTCATAGCACTGCTTCTAAAAGAGGTACCCTTAACTAAGCATGCCTGTATAGCAGCTTGTTTGAACATGTTACATCAACTCACTCTTAAACTGCCTGATGAGCTCATTGTTACTACCCACACTTTACAGATGAGGTAACTGAGGATTGCTGAAGTTAGATAATTTTCCCAAGTCCCTGAATTAGTGGGGCACAGTCAGGGATCAGTGCCAAAGGCCAGATTCTTTCCGTAATCATGCTGCCTGTCCCCCAGAGTCCACAGGTCTAAAAACAAGCAAGGACATCAGTGTTCCGGAAGTGGAAATGGTGGCCTTCTAGGAGGTTGTCTAGGGCCCACCAGGAGACACCCTCTTCCTGCTCGTGGGATTTTCCATGCTGCCTCAGAGACCACCATTCACACTGCATAAAGGGCCCTCGGCTCCCGTACCCCTGGGTGCAGAGGCACAAGACCAGCAACACACCGGCCCTGGGGACTAACACCACGTGACTTCACTTACATGTGGAGCCTGACAAACCACACCAACAAACAAGCAAATGACACAAAACAGACTCAGACACAGAGAACTGGTGGTTTCCAGAGGGGAGGTGGGGTGGGGAGATGGGTGAAATCAGCGAAGGAGATTAAGGGGGTACAAACTTCTGGTCACACAGTAAAGAAGTCATGGGGATGAAAAGCACAGCATAGGGAATACAGTCAATAACACTGACATAGTTTGGATGGGGACTGCACTTATTCTGGTGAGCATTTCATGATGTATCCAGTCAAATGATTGCTAACACACCTGAAACATTGTATATCAACTACACTTCATGTTAAAAATACATTTTTTAGAAACGGCATTGGGGAGAAGTCTTAAAGGAGGCAGTACGGATCCAGCTTGGGACTGCACACACAGGTCTTAGATAAGAAATCCCCGGGTACAGTGTGGCCAGGTCACCCATTCTGGAAGCGGAAGAAAGGGGAAGTCAGCAGGCACTGGGAAGTGAAGACCCATGTCAAGGGAGTGCCCAATCTCCTCATCCTCCTGCAGGGGGTCGAGATGTCTGCCCCGTGCTGTGGAGGAGCTTGGTGAGCCTGGCGGTCTGGGCCTGGATCCTCCATCGTTTCCACAGACAGCCCGTCTCTCCACACCCCGTGCATGGGCTCCACAGAGAAATGAGGTTACAAAGGGTGTGCTGCTCAGAGTTAGAGGCTACAGAAGAGCATGGGGTTATTTGCATTCCCTGAAAAATGACAGCCAAAGAAATGTAGTGAGATTACAACTGAAAAATTATCCAGAAAGATGCATCATACTTGGATTTTTGCACCCTGCCTTGGGCATCCCTTACGTAAGAACAGCCAACCTATATGGAGTACTTACTCAGTGCCAGCCTCTCTTCTAAGAAGTCTACGGTTACTACCTCCCTTCATTGTCATAACCCTATCATCGCCATTTTACAGATGAAGACACTGAGCACAGGGAGGTAAAGTAGTTTGCCACAGGTTGCACAGCTGACAAGTGGCCAAACTGGGATTCAAACCCAGGTTTGTATTTTAACAAACTGTCCATCCTCTTAACCATATATACAGCCTCTCAGCCGATGGGCATCAGATAACACACCCAAGTGGCTTTTCTAATCCTCATACAAGTGTTTTCTGTTCTGCAAGAGTGAATGCTGGTGAAAGCTTCAGCAAATCTATTGAGTTCTGTCATGCGTGGGATACAGGGCGGCTCCACTTCTGACTGGTTCTGAGCCCCAGCAGGGTTTGCTGAGCACCTGAGTAGACACTTCACACCCCCACCTCTCTTCTACTGCCACTGCCTGGACAGCCATGTAGGAATTCTCCCGATCTCCCGGCTGCCTAAAGTCCTTTCTTTGATACAAGAGGGAGTACAAAGTAAAAACTAAACATGGATTGCATCTTGCTCAGAGCCTCTTTCCTAGCCCCCATTTTCCCAGCTCATTCCTCAGTCCAGCTCCCTGTATTTGTCAAGCATGAGGAAGGAGAACCATAAACGATCAGCTACTTCCCATCACCACCACCTCCTCCTCCCACCCACAGGAGAATGAGGCTGGAGTCAGGCAGAGCAAGAGAAGAGAACCTTTGTGATCCAGGTTGGCACGAAGATCAAGTTCTATTGAACAAGGGCGTGGACATAATTAGTCACTGCCCCTTCCCCTGCTTGCTTTCCTTCCACACCCCAGTGTTCTAACGAAGTTTTCATGTCATCAGAGGAGAAGAAAACTGAACCCATTTGTATCAGAAGAGCAACTGTTGTTTTCAGTTGTAATTCCACTACTACAGAGCCTAGAAGTTAGAATAAAACCTGCTGGGTAACATACAGCTAGAAGTATAGCTTTTCCCTTACTACACATTAACTTGCTTACTTGGAAAGACTCTCTTGGTCAGAATTATCAAACAGGAACAGCAAAATTTGGGGGGTTGGGGGCAAATACTGCCAGACTCATTGTTTTAATGAAGATGTATCTCTTCCAGTCTGAATGTGTTGTTTGTTCCTCACCTACTTAAAACCATAAGGGAAGACTAAGAGATGGATGCTAGCATTCCCCAACACCTAGCCAGTTACTTTAGCTGACACCAATAAGCAGATGGCAAGCTTTAATTAAATAAGGGAGGCACAGATGGAAGACAAAGACTGGCTACCTGCTATGATCCCCGCCGACATTCTCCAGGGACCTCAGCCCAGGTACATTTACCTGCAGAGCACAGGAACCTTACCAGCTTCTTTGTGGGTCAGTGGGAAAGGATGACGTAAGAACAGATCTCAGCACCGTGGAGGTCGCCCCTAGAGCAGGGCAAGTCTGGGGAGCCTAAGGCTTATTTGGCACTATCTGGATGCTGGGCATAATATAAAACATATCATATTTACTCCTCCCCACAATTGTGTGTGGCAAATTTGAGCCCTCTTTTACAAATAAGGAAAATAGGGCTCAAGTGCTGAGGTAATTTATCCAGTGCCACACTAAGAGCTGCACTGAGCCTGGCTGTCAGGCAGACTTATCCTTACCGAATTTAGCACTCCACCTTATCAAATCTAATACAGTAACAAAAAAAAATAATTGTGGAGAGGAGGAAGAAAGAAAATATTGGTTGTATTTTAAATATATAAGAAGTCAGAGAACTACAAAATGGAGCCAGAGGGATCTCTACCATAAGGATGCATTCATTAGAGGCCATAGTGATAAGAGATGATGTCTTAATGGTAGTTATTAAGCTTCCAGGTGAGCAGGGTACTACAGGTGAAATTTATCTTGCATATCTAATGGCATTTCCTATTATTCTCTCAACAAGACTAAAATAAGATTATTCTACCCCAATATTAAAAGAAAAAAAAAGATGAATCGCTCAAAACAAAATCTCTTCCTGCAATATGTTTGGAAAATGAATACAAAAACATATCCTTAGATGATCTAATGAAACACAAAGTCAAATATAGAAAGCAGACAAGATAGAGATGATAAATTCAATGATCTTTAAGAGACAAAGGAGAAAAAAAGAAAAGAAAGGCAAAAAGTAAAATTGCAGAAATGGAAGACTTTATTGAAAGAAACACAAACATAATTGTGGATCAGAAAACAATCACCAAGCTTACAGCTGAATAAGCAATTAAAAAGAATGAACCATCCCTTTTCTGAAATCTAAGAAGGCCCTAAATTATACAATTGAAGAATAATCACAAAGAAAGACCATTAGCACGCCCTCTTCCTTCCTTTGGAGAACATGGGACCCAGCATGTCTTGGGTCCTTAACAAGCATGACGTCACCTTTCAGCATTCTCAGCAGGGGCGATGCTGCCCCCAAGGGGTCAGAAACAGGTTCTGGGGGGGGGGGGTGACAAGAGTCACACTCTTCAGGCACAGAGTATAGATATACATATAGCACATAAACAGTGTACCTGTGGTATTCAACTTGGAGGGGAGCAATTAAGCAGTGATGTCTAAAATAGCTCCATAAAGGGGGCAGTATTTTTTTTTAAGTTGAGAAATACTGCATGACAGAAATTTTAACTTCGCTTTACATCAGAGATATAATCAGAATTGTAAAATACCTTCTCAAACACACATGGGTTTCCAAACTAAAGGAGTCAAAAAATGGAAAGTATAAAGACATAGTGGCTCTTAGCAGGGGAGTGGTAGGTAAAGGGGTGACATTTTATAATGACTAAAAGAAAAAGAAAGGTGAGTTTTTCCGTGAGTTTAATCATCTGGGGGTGTGTCCTTAGCACTAAAAAATAGTCTCTGGAAAAGGTAAGCTTAAGGAGGTACAAAATTCACTTGCCTCCACAGCCACCCCTCTTCCTAGCCCCCGAATAGTGACCATCTAGGAGCCTTGCTCAGAACACACTACCTGGGAAGAAGCCACACCCCCTGTATTTGAAGATGGGAGCAAAACAGTGCGGGCCCACAGACAGGCAATGGTTTCACGCCGTTACTGGGAAGACAACTTAGCATATGCTTTGCACCTGTCCCTGACACTGAACTTTCTGAGAGGTCAAAATGTTAATTCTCTGTGTTTCTCAGACCCCCAGGGTCAAGACCTATTTAATGTCTGAGTATGTTAGCGGTGCCTACCTCTCCAGATTTTTATTTCTAAGGTTCCAAATGCATAAGAAAGAGAACTAGAAAACCACCGCCAGCACATTCTCTTCCTCTCTTTGGCTTACTGGCTGAGGTGAGGTTTGGCTACTTGGGGGCCTTTGCAAACCTGCACAGGGCTGCCCAGGCTGCCAGCCCCTCAGAGGAACTCAAACCAGCAGCGCGGGTGGGAATCCCTGAAGAAGAAGGAGTAGGCGGTGCCCGGGTGCCCCACCGGCCGGTGGTGGATCAGGGCCCACAGGGAGTCGCCGAGGAGGGCGGCCAGAGGTCGAGGCCCCTGGTGATCACCTTCCAGAGGCTTCACGATCTGAAGTTTCTCAGGCAGGTAGGAACGGCTGCTGAAGGACATGCTGGAGAAGCCGGTGACCTCGGAGAAGCGGGAGTGTGTGCCCAGGGACATGATGCTCTCCGTGGGCGTGAGGGAGCCGCTGAGCAGCTCGCCCTTCTCCGCCAGCTCCCTGAGCTTCCGCTCCTGCTCCTCCTCGAAGAACCTCCTCTCTGAGAGGTAGTTCTCCCGGCGGAGGGACAGCCGCCTCAGTGCGGTCTCCAGGTCGTGGGAGCCCGGGGTGCCCGGCGTGCCCGGCTTCTTACTCTGCGCGTCGTTCCTAGAAGCAGCGGAAATGGGGGTGAGCGGGAGCGCCCAGCAGGGGGAGCTGCACACAGCCACGGAGGTCCCCTGCTAAACGCGCGGTGGGTATGTCCAGGCCTGCAGGATTTTCCGGGGAAACTAAGGCAGCAGTTGAAATTTTGTCAAAAATGGGGAAACAAATGTCTGCCCAGAAGAACTGATTTCCTCTGTTGGGTTTTGGCGGGTGTGAGGGGAGGGGGGTGCACTAAAACCACATAAAAAATCAAGTTCCTAAAAACATCTCCCTCATGGGCTATTTCTCTTTCCTCTTGAATTCAAGGACCTGAGAGCTCAAGGACGGTTCCCTTCAAGCAGTATCCCAACCAGTGGGCCCGACAGGTCAGACGAACCAGCTGTACTGTTAAGGAAAACGTGCCCAACAGCGGACAATGTGGGAGGAGGTGTTTCAAAACAAATGGCTGACCGTGCTGAGGAAGGCCCGCTCCAAGGACACCCCGTGCGATGGGCACTTGCAGGGTGCTGCACCCCATCTTCTGAAGCAAACAAGGTTCTGGTTATAAGATGGAGCCTCAGTCCTCAGTCTTTCACATAGCCCAGCTACAAAGGAGTTCATGAAACAAATGTCTACCTACTCTATAGCCTGACTGTGCGGATTAACAGAAGAAATACTCATTTATTATCCCCTTCAGTATTTTACTAAAAAGCTGACTTCTTGGTGCAGCCTGTTATACCTCTTTAAATTGGTCAAAATGGTCAAGAATGAGTATAAGCTTGGAGGATTGGGAAAACAGACCTGGGAACTGAAATGGCGATACTTTTATCAGCCTGCCTCTTCTGACTGTCCCACACCACCTGCCCCCTGCTGACAGCCAAGAGCTCTGGGAGGCTCACCCCAGGCTGGCCGGCTCTGTCTCCAGGACACCACTGCTGGTTCTGTTATCCAAGATGACGTTGTTGACATCACTGCCGTAGAAGCTGGACCGGCGGGTGCTGGCGCAGCTGGACAGGAGGGAGTGCACGGATGAGGACTGGTTGGAGCCGGGGATGTTCATGGGGGACGGCGTCAGAGACCTCTGCTTGACAGCCTGGTTGATGTTCCTCACAGTCTCAAAGACTCGCTTCTGATGACTGGGGAGAATACATATCATCACCCAGGAGTGAGGAATGCAGGAATGACCCAGGAAGACCCTCCACAAACTGTCAACCAAGGAGCCAAAAGGCAGCCGGCCCCCGGGAGCCCCAGCAGCTTGCTGTCCTGTGCCTAACTCGTGTTTTTTAGGGTGTTGGTTGGAATTTGAGAGACCTCCCCCACCCCCGGGCCTGCAGATTCAGGGCTTTACCACAAGGTGTCCTACAGGTGAGGCCCGCAAGAGTGATACTGCTTTTTACTTCCCTTAAGTTTGGCTACAAATACAAATATTTAAGTAGTACTTTTATCTCCCAGCTAGTTTCCTACACTCATGATAGTCCCTAGATGGTGGTGTTCACTGCTCAGCACATAACAGGGCTCAGCAAATATTCGTAGAATGAGTACTGGACCGTATATATATCTATACATGAGAAAGCAAGACTTAAAGTTAGTCTTAAACTTCTATAATGAGATGATAAACACCAGATAAATCTTTTTTTAGAAACTGCTATTTCTGAGAGCAGAGTCACAGTTTGACACTCATTTTTTTTTGCCTTTTAAGGAGAAAAATAAAGGCATGTCGCTATAATGGCCATTTTCTGGGATGCAGAGGGCTTCACACATACCAGTGAGAATACTGGTCACTCCAGGGTCCTATTTAAGTTCTGTCTATGCTGCTTGGGTACAGAGAAAACAATGAAATAGGATTCATAGGTTCCTTCTAAACACTTAAGGGCAGGCCAAGAGCAAGACCTCACATTAGGAAGAGAGATGGTAGAGGCTGATATCCCTAAATGTGCCCAGGAAGGAAATGGGAGCCCTGCTCACACCCCTTGAAGGGCTCTCTGTATCTCACCCTGCATCCTATTTTCATTTTCCTAACTGATGTTAAAATTTTAAAAATACTTTTGATGAAACGAAAGATAAAAGTAAGCAATAAGAATAAAAGAGGAAAGTGGGATTAAAGATGGCAGCATGAGAGGTGAGACAGAAACTCCCTCCTAAAACCACATATAACATGAAAATATAATTAATACAACTAATCCTGAAAAAGCAACAGGAAAGAAGGCTGCATCAGACTGCATACACCTCGACAAAAGAGCAGACCTCACGGAACAGGGTAATATACCAAAGCTGTGACCCGGCGGGGCCCAAGCCCTTCCCCCACCCCAGCTCACCAGCAGGAGGAAGAGAAACAGAGTGGGGACTAGGACTGCTGAACACCTAGCCCTGGAGATCTGCTCTGGGAGCACAAACCTACATTGCATGGTGCTCTGGTGATTAGTGGGGTTGTAAAGCTAAGACAGGCGGAATACCTGGAGAGACAGAGAGTACAGCTGCTTGTGGAAAACAGGGATTCATATCTGGCTGATCTGGATGGGCAGTCTGAGAGACTTCCTAAAAGCGAGATGGCTGGCTGCTAAGGGGCAAGGACTGCACAGAGCTTACTGCTCAGGAGAAAGGACAGGTAGACAAAACTGTTCGGGTGCACTCTGCCCAGCAGGTTGGGAGCTAAAACAATTATCAGGTGCTCCATCCTCCTGGTTGGTTATGCAGCTCCAAGGTGACCCACTGTGATATGCAGCCTGCTGTGTCTTCCTCCTGGCCAGCCCTCACCTGGCTTGTAAACTGGCAACTCCTGCCCTGGCATCAGGCCAGCCAGAGGGAAGCCCCGCCTACAGCAGCTACCAACACAAAGCATAGAGGCTTACCCCTGTGTCTCTGGCCCACTGGTTCTCACAGTGGAGACAGGCATAGCAGCTGGGAAGCAGAAAACAGCCCTTTCCTCCCCCCAGGCACCAATACTGCTCCCCTGTGACCCCCAACACTGCTCCAGGGTCTAAGCTGCTTCAGAGACAAGAGCTTCTGGGCACTAGAGGGCACCACAGACAAATATGAAACATCAAAGGAACCTTGTTCAAAGCAAAATTATGAATACACCTAAGGAAGATTCAAATGAAATCAACCTCATGAATCCTGAAAGTGACTTCAAAATAAAAATCATTAACATGCTCATGGATGTACACAAAACTATTCAAGAACTCAGGAATGAATTCTGGTCAGAGATCCAATCGTTGAAGAGCACAATGTAGGGTATTAAAAGCAGATTAGATATGGTGGAGGAGACAATAAATGAAATAGAAATAAGGAAAGAGGAATACAAAGAAGCTGAGGCACAGAGAAAAAAAGGATCTCTAAGAATGAAAGAATAATGAGAGAACTGGGTGACCAATCCAAACGGAATATTATTCATATTAGAGGGGTATGAGAAGAAGAAGAGAGAAAGAGATAGAAAGTGTCTTTGAGGAAGTAACTGCTGAAAACTTCCCCAATCCTGTGAAGGAGATAGTCTCTCAGGCCACTGAGATGCACAGATCTCCCAACACAAAGAACCCAAGGAAGACAACACCAAGACATAATAATTAAAATGGCAAAGATCAAGGATAAGGACCGACTATTTAAAGCAGCCAGAGAAATAAGATAACATACAAAGTAAAACCCATGAGGCTATCAACAGACTTGTCAGCAGAAACCTTACAGGCCAGAAGGGATTGGCATGATATAGTTAATGCAATGAAGCAGAAGGGCCTAGAACCAAGAGTAATTTATCCTGCAAGGTTATCATTTAAATTTGAAGGAGGGATTAAACAATTTCCAGATAAGTAAAAGCTGAGAGAATTTAGCTCCTATAAGCCATCTCTACAGTGTATTTTGGAGGCACTGCTATAGATGGAAGTGCTCCTAAGGTTAAATACTATCACCAGAGGTAATAAAAAGGGTTAGACAAAGATTATAGAATATGATACCTAATATATAAAGAATGGAGGAGGAAGCAAAGGAGGGGGAAAAAAAAGAACCTTTAGTATATAATAGCATACTAAGTGAGTTGAGTTAGACTCTTAGATAGTAAGGAAGTTACCCTTGAACCTTTGGTAACCACAAATCTAAAGCCTGCAATGTCAATAAGTAGATACCTATCGATAATCACCCTAAATGTAAATGGTCTGAATGCACCAATCAAAAGACATAGAGTCACTGAATGGATAAACATACAAGACCCAACTATATGCTCCCTACAAGAGACTCACTTCATACCCAAAGACATACACAGACTAAAAGTGAAGGGATGGAAAGATATATTTCATGCAACTAATAGGGAGAAAAAAGCAGGAGTTGCAGTACTTCTATCAGACAAAATAGACTTCAAAACAAAGAGAGTCACAAGAGACAAAGAAGGACATTAAACAATGATAAAGGGGTTAATCCAACAAGAGGATATAACCATTATAAATACCTATGCACCCAACACAGGAGCACCTACATATGTGAAACAAATACTAAAACAATTGAAAGGGGAAATAGAATGCAATGCATTCATTTTAGGAGACTTCAACACTCACTCACTCCAAAGGACAGATCAACCAGACAGAAAATAAGTAAGGAGACAAAGGCACTGAACAACACACTAGAACAGATGGACCTAACAGACATCTACAGAACTCTCTACCCAAAAACAGGAGGATATACATTCTTCTCAAGTGTACACAGAACTTCTTCCAGAATGGACCACATAGTAGGTCACAAAAAGAGCCTCAGTAAATTCAAAAAAAATTTAAATTCTACCAACCAATTTCTCAGATCACAAAGGTATGAAACTAGAAATAAATTGTACAAAGAAAACCAAAAGGCTCACAAACACATGGAGGCTTAACAACATGCTCCTAAATAATCAATGGATCAATGACCAAATTAAAACAGAGATGAAGCAATATATGGAGACAAGTGAAAACAACAGCACAAAGCCCCAACATCTGTGGGACACAGTGAAGGCAGTTCTAAGAGGAAAGTATACAGCAATCCAGGCCTATTTAAAGAAGGAAGAACAATCCCAAATGAATAGTCTAAAGTCACAATTATTGAAATTGGAAAAAGAAGAATAAATGAGGCCCAAAGTCACCAGAAGGAGGGACCTAATAAAGATCAGAAAAGAAAAATATAAAATTGAGAAGAATAAAATAGAAAAAAATTAATGAAACCAAGAGCTGGTTCTTTGAGAATCTACACACACAAACAGGATCAGAAATGAGAAAGGAGAAATCACAATGGACACCACAGAAATACAAAGAATTATTAGAGAATACTATGAAAATCTATATGCTAACAAACTGGAAAACCTTGAAGAAATGGACAACTTTCTAGAAAAATACAACCTTCCAAGACTGACCCAGGAAGAAACAGAAAATCTAAACAGACCAATTACCAGCAACGAAATAGAATCAGTAATCAAAAAACTACAGAAGAAAAAAACCCCACACTAGATGGCTTCACCACTGAATTTTATCAGACATTTAGAGATGACATAATACCCATTCCCTAAAGTTTTCCAAAAAGTAGAATAGGAGGGAATACTTACAAACGTATTCTATGAAGCCAGCATCACTCTAATACCAAAACCAGGCAAAGACACCACAAAAAAAAGAAAACTACAGACCAATATCCCTGATGAAGATGGATGCAAAAATACTAAACAAAATATTAGCAAACCAAATTCAAAAATACATCAAGAGGATCATACACCATGATCAAGTGGGATTCATTCCAGGGATGCAAGGATGGTACAACATGCAAAAATCCATCAACATCATCCACCACATCAAAAAAAAGGACAAAAACCACATGATTATCTCCACAGATGCTGAAAAGCATTCAACAAAATTCAACAAAATGGGTATAGAGGGCAAGTACCTCAACATAATAAAGTCCATATATGACAAACCCACAGCCAACACCGTATTTAACAGCAAGAAGCTGAAAGATTTTCCTCTGAGATCAGGAACAAGACAAGGATACCTACTCTCCCTGCTTTTACTCAACATAGTACTGGAGGTCCTAGACACGGCAATCAGATAACACAAAGAAATAAAAGGCATCCAGACTGGCAAGGAATAAGTCAAACTGTCATTGTTTGCAGATGAATGATATTGTACATAAAAAACCTTAGACTCCACTCTAAAACTACTAGAACTAATATCTGAATTCAGCAAAGTTGCAGGATACAAAATTAATACACATAAATCTGTTGCATTCCTATAAACTAATGATGAACTATCAGAAAGAGCAATCAGGAAAACAATTCCATTCACAGCTGCATCAAAAAGAATAAAAATACCTAGGAATAAACCTAGACAAGGAAGTGAAAGACCTATACACTGAAAATTACAAAACACTCCTAAGAGAAATTAAAGAGAACACTAATAAATGGAAATTCATCCCATGATCTTGGATGGAAAGAATTAATATTGTTAAAATGGCCATCCTGCCTAAAGCAATCTACCGATTCAATGCAATCCCTATCAAAATACCAACAGCATTCTTCAATGAATTGGAACAGATAGTTCTAAAATTCATATGGAACCACAAAAGACCCTGAATAACCATAGCAATCCTGAGAAGGAAGAATAAAGCAGGGGGATCTCACTTCCCAACTTCAAGCTCTACTAGAAAGCCACAGTAATCAAGACAATTTGGTACCAGCACAAGAATGGACCCATAGACCAGTGAACAGACTAGAGAGTCCAGATATAAACCTAAGCATATATGGTCAATTAATATACGATAAAGGAGCCATGGATGTACAATGGGGAAATGACAGCCTCTTCGACAGCTGTTGGCAAAACTGGACAGCTACATGCAAGAGAATGAAACTGGATTATTGTCTAACCCCATACACAAAAGTAAACTCAAAATGGATCAAAGACCTGAATGTAAGTCATGAAACCATAAAACTCTTAGAAGAAAATACAGGCAAAACTCTCTTAAATATAAACATGATCAACTTCTTCATGGACATTTCTCCACTGGCAAGGGAAACAAAAGCAAAAATGAACAAATGGGACTGTATCAAACTAAAAAGCTTCTGTACAGCAAAAGACACCATCAGTAGAACAAAAAGGCCTCCTACACTATGGGAGAAAATATTCATAAATGACATATCTGATAAGGGGTTGGCATCCAAAATATACAAACAGCTCATGCACCTCAAGAAACAAAAAGCGAATAATCCAATTAAAAAATGGGCAGAGGATCTGAACAGACACATCTCCAAAGAAGAAATAGATGACCAACAGGCACATGAAAAGATGCTTCGCATCACTAATCATCAGAGAGATGCAAATTAAAACCACAATGAGATACCACCTCACACCAGTTAGGATTGCCATCATACAAAAGACAAACAATAACAAATGTTGGCGAGGATGTGGAGAAAGGGGAACCCTCCTCCACTGCTGGTGGGAATGTAAATTAGTTCAACTATTGTGGAAAGCAGTATGGAGGTTCATCAAAAAACTCAAAATAGAAATACCATTTGTCCCAGGAATTTCACTCCTAGGAATTTACCCTAAGAATGCAGGAGCCCAGTTTGAAGAGGACATATGTATCCCTATGTTTATCAGAGCACTATTTACAATAGCTATCAAAAGGAATCAACTATAAGTGTCCATAAGTAGATGATTGGATAAAGATGTGGTACATATACACAATGGAATATTATTCAGCCATAAGAAGAAAACAAATCCTACCATTTGCAACAACATGGATGGAGCTAGAGGGCATTATGCTCAGTGAAATAAGCCAGGTGGAGAAAGACAAGTATCAAGTGATTTCACTCATCTGTAGAGTATAAGAACAAAGCAAAAACTGAAGGAACGAAACAGTAACAGACTCACAGAATCCAAGAATGGAGTAACAGTTACCAAAGGGAAAGCGACTGGGGAGGATGTATGAGAAGGGACAGATAAGGGGAAAAAGGAGCATTACAATGAACACACATAATATAAGGGGAGGGCACAGGAAAGGCAGTATAGCACAGAGAAGACAAGTAGTGACAGCATCTTACTACACTGATGGACAGTGACTGTAATGGGGTATGTGGTGGGGACTTGATAATGGGGGGAGTCTAGTAACCACAATGTTTTTCATGTAAGTGTATCTTAATGATACCAAAATAAATAAATAATATAATGAAAAAAAAAATAAAAGAGAAAAGGATAAACATAAAAAGATAAAAATGGTGTGAAGATGGAACTTGTATTAATAGATGGGAAGCATCCCTCCTTTCCCAACCTTCTGGATGTTCACAGCACCTCTTTAAAACCTAACATGGGGAGCTGGGTGATGCTGCCAGCTGGGTTCTCTTTCCCTTCATCTGGGAAGGACTGCATGGTCACTGGTGGTGTCTGAGGCCCACACATGGCTAGTTCTGGTCACCACCAGTCACAAGCCAGTCCCCAGAAAGCTCAGAACTTAGGCCGTACATGATGTCGGGCGACTCGGGCTCTTCCAGCTGCAGCTCCTTGCGCATCGTTCCCTCGATCTCTGCTGCCAGCGAGTCCTGGGAAAAGCCAGAAGACATACACTGAGTGAGCAGCAACACAACTGCTCTGTCTCTAAAAGAGATGGGCAGCCAGGCCAGCCACTAAAGTGTAATCTGAGGCCTCAGAAGCCCACAGACTTCCCACAACACAAGGTGGGTTGCTTTCACCACTGTTAGAAACCCTGGTGACCAATCTCCACAGCAAGGTTTGGCTGTAGCAGGCCAGAGGGCACTGAGCATAAAGCTCCTGCACTCCCAGCTACGGGCCTGAAAGCAAACCCTTTGTTGCCTTGGACAAACCATGGAGCCGTGCCTCTGACCATGAGGAGAGGCAGAGAGGTTGGTGGGGGGTGGGAGTCAGGAAGGACCTGAGTCATGGGCACTGTCATCTGGGCCTCTGCTCTCAGGCCTCCCTGGCCTCCTGCAAAGAAAGCTCCTCTCCCCATCAGCCCATCCACCTTTAATGGCCAGCTCACCTCTCATTTCTATGAGCAGTCCTTCACTTCCTTCCCAAGGAGATACCAAACACATTAAATCCTTGCCAGTTCTCAGAGCCTCTGTGGCTTTTTTTACGCCTCTCTGGCTAGGTCATGGATTTTTGTGGGTCAGGGAAAGGCCAGCCACTAGCAACTCCTCACTCCCCCGATGGGCCAGGCCTCAAGCTGAGACTCAACAACAAGCTGCCTGACGAGAGCCCCTCTTGCTGAACCCTCGCCACCCCTCACCATGCGAGGTACAGCCCGACAGATGATCCCTCACGCGGATGCATGCATGCAGTGGCGGGACCAGGTATGTGTGGAGAAGCACCTGCTGAAGCCTCAGAGACACCATGTGGACATTCCTCAGGGAAGGGCTGGCCATTACAGATGCTATTAGCCAACAGGGCTTCCTGTGATGGTGAAAATGCTCTTTCTGCACCGTTCAGCACAGAGCCACTGGCTGTAGGTGGCTACTGCTCACTTGAAATGTGGCCAGTGTGGCTGAGGAGCTGAATTCTTACTGTACTGATTTTAAGTGATTTGAATTTAGGTAGCCACTTATGGCCAGTAGCTTCCCAGCAGACAACACAGAGGGACTCCAGGTGTCAATCCCCACATCCCCATAGTTCACCCTGGGACATTCCAGTCTGGACACTGGAACCAAGTGGGGGAGACTCAACAGGAGCCAGCAGGGAGCTCGAGTCATGCAGGGTTACTGGGCTTGCCTCCAATTCCTATTCACAAATACACAATTTTAGTTAGTCATTATTGCCCACAGATTGCCATTAAACATAATTCTGTGGCAAAGGGCTTCCTATGTGAGTCTGACATTTTTTAAACCAGTTTATTTTCCTTTATGTTATTCACCATAGAGTTTATATTCAGAGTTCCACATAGGGAAAGGACCTGACTACAACTTAGGAGACAAGAGGTATTAAACTACTAATTACAAAGCCATGCTGGAAGAAAATTGCAAGCAGGGTCAATAAATGAATAAAACAGGACTTAAAGGAAGCCAGATTATTGAGCTAACTACTAAAATATTAGTAATAATAGCTGTGATATAGTAATATAGGATCTGGATTCAGGACTGGTAATTACTGTCATTTTGAAAGTGGAGATTAGGATAAATGGTATTTGAGATGCTGCAACTGAATGTGTCATGAAAACAGCTGTGATTTCAACAGGTGACAAAGTCCCCAGGGGTGCCAATATCACAGTGGCTTGTTGCCTACCTTCACACAAGAAGGAAACACTGCACGCAGTTAGGGGTTAATGAACATAAAAGATATAATCTTCCTTCAAAGTTACTGGGCCCCCTGTATATATGTTGAATATAAAGGTTCCTAGCAGTTTGTTTTTCAGGCTGTCCATCCACACACCCAAATCTAGTATCTATTAAACATCTACTTCTGCAACATACCAAGGACTGTGCTAGGTAGAGATTATGAATGCCTGCCATAAGGCAAGAGAAACAGGAACATACCTGAGCAAAAGCTGCTCCTCACTGTTTTATTCAGCAAGTACAAAGGCTGGGAGCAAGAAAGGCCGATCTGGGCATTTTGTTCCAGAAACATGGGCATTGTACAAGCTTTAGATTGCCTTAAATACTTTTAATGTGTAATGCACTTTAAAAATAGCCATCTTGAACAACTGAGCTGTGCCAACAGCTTCAGAAAAAGGCTAACAAAAGCTCTACCTCAGCAAATATGAAAGCTGAGACTCTCTCCAGAAGAAACCCAAATGCAGATTTTCAATTCAACTTTTCCTATGTAATGATTTAGTTTTAAGATACAAATCTGTTCTTGAGAGTGTGTCACACAATGGACTGAATCTTAGGTACACAAGAAACATGGCAGCGCCAGGAGGCCCGTGTGTGAGCTGAGTGTGGTCTGCTGTAGCTGGAGGAATTTGGGGGATAGGATGCTCTTTGCTGCCTTTCCTGGGGTTCCTGGAATCACTAGGTTACCAATCTCCTCCTTAGGAAGCTATTTACAATGTGTCTTTCATTTTGGTTTCATTAGACTTCTATCAAGTTGAAACAGAGTGAGAGAGAGCGTGCACTCTAGCCCGACTTAGATGTTATGAAAGCAAAAAGAACAAGTGATCGTGAATCAGGAAAAGTGGGCCAGACCACAAGAAGTGGGGGACAGTGTCAGTAATGGAGGGGCGGGGTTTGGAGGGAAAGGAACCCACAAAAAGGCCACAGTCAGAAGGTACCATGTCTCACAAACCTTTATACAGCTACCCACTCCTACCCCATTTAGGAGGGTTTCTCTCCAAAGTCCTTCTCTCCTCAAAAATATGGTATTTATCAAACCATGGAAACGGAGGTTGAATATAAAAGTTCCTAGCAGTTTGTTCTTCAGGCTGTCCATCTACACACCCAAATCTAGTATCTATTAAGCATCTACTTCCGCAACATACCAAGGACTGTGCTAGGTAGAAGGTATTAAAGAGGGGGAAGGAAGAAAATAGCAAATAAAATAGTGCTCACCTTCGGGGGGCTTTAGTCTGCTGGAAGTAAAATGAGTAAGCTCACCACGTGTTACAGGGAAATGACCAGCAAAAGGGGCCCAATTTCAACAGGGAAAGGTTAACCTCCTGGAAAATCCCCTTTTCACCATGTTCCCCTAAAGCCCAAACATGAAATAGATCAGGCCAGGGCTAATAAAATAAGATTGTGGGGAAATGACTTTTTTTTAAAATTTAAATGCCACTTCTAGCAGAAAGAGAAATATTTTTTCAGATCACAGATACTGACAGTGACCAAGGGGATGACTAACAAGCACATAAAGAGCCGAGATAACTGTATGGGCAATTCAAGAATTCTGGAATGTTCCTGTGAGGCCAAAAGAGCACCTCCTCTAGGAAGGTCAGAAAAATAATGCATAAATCATGTCTTCCAAATATCTGAGGCTTCTATTTAATTTATCTTTTATGGGCAGGGATGGAAAATAAAGAATCAATTTGTGTCACATAGTTAAGAAGCCACCACCCGGGCACAAGAGCCCTCCACCACTCGGATCCGGATCCAAGCTATAAAATGAGATGCCACCTGCAACTCAGCTCCAGACCCTGCCCCTGCCTCCCTACCAGGGGTTCTCCTGCTGCCCTCTGGGCGGGCAGAGGGGTGCCAGAAAGCCAGCAGGGACTCACCATGGGGAACAGGCCCAGTGAGTGGTAGCGCCGGGGTGTGGTGTTGGGCATGGTCTTGTTCCGCAGGTTCTTGAGCTCCTCCTGCGCCTCATGAAGCATCTCCATGCACTCCGCGTACTTGTCCTCCAGCTCGCGCAGCTGCAGGGGACCAGGCAGATGTGCGGGCCAGGCTCCCATGAGCCCCAGGGGCGTAGTGCACCCTAGGCCCAACAGCCAAAGAGCCCTGGAGGCTCAGGGTGTCTTTCACTCAGGGCATGCTTACAGCCTCAGACATCCCCTGAAATACTAACGGGGCAGCTGAGATAAAAACAACTTGAAACTAATGGCAGAGCAAGCGGTCACACCCGCGTTTCCAACTGCGGCTCTGAATGGCAACTTTCATGTGCTGTGCTCTGTAGCTCTTATTGCAGTGTTTATGGGGAGACAGTAACAGCGGGCGTTACCTTAGGAGTAAGAAAAGCATTCGATTGTATAAAAACGGCTGCTAAGATGCACGTGACCCACAACCTGTCAGAGGAAAGCCACCGTGCCCTAATGGGCATCGGGGGAGCCACTCACCTCGGCTGTGAGCTGCCGCTGGGCATCCTTGGCAGCCCCCAGGTGCTGGACGAGTTCTTCATTCTCCACTGCACACTGAAATGGTGCAAAGCTATGTCAGTTACTCTTTTAAGCTATTTGAGAAATTATAACTTTTACCCCTCATTATAGGATCCATTATGATCCTATCACATTTCTGCAATAAGACTTTTCTCTTATCCTGGGGTAAATTTTCATCTTTTATATAATTTTGAAGGTAGTCTTTCCTACATCCATATTCCTTCTCTGTAGCCCGCCCCCACCCCACCCCCATAGTCACAGCTGCTCTCCGGAAACATTTCTCCTCATGATTCCAGCAAAGGCCTAACATGGAAACTAAATTGTTTTTTGCTGTGTCATCTTAAATCTGAAGGGAATATTGTTCTGCTGCAGAACATTCCAGGTGTGCCATGTAAAAGCAAGTACTAGACTAGATGATTCAAAAGTTAAATTCCCAAACTCCATGTCTATAGAATTCTATTAATTTGCAGATCATTCTTAGAAGATAGGTGCTGATAAATATAATCTCCTCACCAACTCAGGGCAACCAGTTTTCTATTGAATCTATTTCTATTTCTATTGAATCTACTCAGGTTTATCTCCAAAGGGGTTGCACAAACTCCTAAAATAGGCAGCTGTCTTGTCAAATAAATGCCCCTTCTCTGTCTCAGAACAGCTATGTGTGTACTGGCCGGAGAGAAGCCTTACAGCTTTTGCCTTCTTCTGCAAATCCACTATTTGCGAGAGCAGGTGTGTGATCTCCTCCTGCTGGCGGGCAGCATCTTCAGTCTTCTTGGCCAGCTCCTCTGAGATACTGGCAATCTGCACATTGGCGTCTCCTTTGACCAAGGCAAAAGCATCTTTATTAAGAGACAGGGAAGGAGTGGGAAGGAATGTAGAGACAGTGTGCATTTTCCTGCATGGGCTCAATCAGGCATAAGATGGAACAGGACCCCACTATGGCTCCCAGGCTTGGTGTTGGGCCCTAACCCCACTGACCAAAGCTGCCTCCCCAGAGGCAATCGGGCAGGCTTCAGGAGTCCCAGCCAGAAGGTTGCACACCAGCAAAGGCGTGTCTGACTGAATCTCCACACTGCACACGTGCACAGCTCCACGTCACTAACAGGAAGCCATGCTGCTCCCGGTTCTGGCGGGAACCATGGCCCTGCACAATACAGTCCTGTGGGTGTTTTCACTCCATATGCACAGCCATAACTCATTTTACTAGACTTGAACATAGGGTGTATTTCATTTATGTCACATTTTGCTGAAACCCAAAATACTCTATTTGCCTCTTTTGTCTTATTATATAACTTGTAAGCTTAACAGTGGTTTGAGGGAGAATGGGCTGTTTGCAAAGCTGAGAACTCTGGCCTCAACTTTTACAAATCAACCAACCAGAAAATGGGTTTTCACATCTACACAGGACTTCATAGCTGGGCCTTAGTTAAACAGTTCCAATATTCCAGTAGAAAGCTAAAATTCAAATTAAATATCCATCTCAGCAGGAAATTGAGACAGTGCATGGCCCACAGCCTAGCACCCAATGTCTCATAAGTCAGGGTGAGGGGTGCCACACAAGATCAGGGGAGGCCTCTAGCTTTAAGAAAAACGCTGCTGAGCCCAGGCTGGCAGGGACACTGCCCTTTACCAAAACAGATGCAACTCTGTCGAGTCATAACGATGGCAGGTGTGGAAAGTAAGAACAGGGAGTGGGGTGGGCAAGGGGCCAGAGACATACTCAGCTCCTTCACACAGTCATTGACCAGCTGCTGCTCCTTCTCTTCATAGGTGATGGTCTCTGTCTTCAGCTGGCAAGCCTGTGAATAAGGCTCAGGTCAGAGGCCCCACGTTCACACCTGGACTGGTAGAGCAGGCAAAGCTGGGGCACACGGCAAGGACGGTCTGGGAGGTTACCCTTCACCATCTACCCACCTGTCACCATTACCCCCACAAATACAGAAACTCAATCAGAATTCTCCACTTGGTTAATCTCAGATTCTCAAAGCAGAAAAGCTGGAAAATATACCACTAGGGGGTGCCAAACAAACCAATGAGCACAGGTGGCACACACTGCCCTGCTAAAACTGTGAGCGCCACCCTGGTGTCCGTCTGTCTATTCACTCGTGTCTGCTCTGGCTTGTTGACATGGACCCCTCTGTGACGCAAAGAGTGCCTTGGACACAGGTCTGCCTATCATGGGCACCCTGAGGCTGGCCACCAGAATGGCTAACACTTAGCACATTCCCCCTTTGTGCCAGGCACTGTCCTATGAGGTTCTGAGCTGTGAGTTAAGCCAGATGCATTCAGGTTAGCACAAATGAGGTACAAAATGAAAACATTAAAATTCAGAGACCCAAGAGCTATCCCAGGACTGTAGGTAGTTTGCTCCCAGCTGAAAAGCTGTAAAAATAGAGTTCTGAAAGTCTGAATGCCCCTGTTGGAGACACTATACTCTTGAAAGCTGAGGTGAAGTAGCTGGAATGTGTAGCTGTGATCAGATTCCCTCAGCTTGCTTTAGGTGAAGATTCTGACAGAGGGACGAACCACTGCATCCCAGCACTGGAGCATTTACCTGGCACGGTGCTGAACTCAGAGTGCAGAACAATGGGCTATATAGCTCGGCTCGGCCACTGTCTGGTGGAGAGAGCCCTCTGGCTGCTCTGGGTCTGTGTTTTCCATCAGTAAATGAGGGCTGGAAGAGGTGAGGGCTAAGGGAACATGGCCGTGTTCTCGTGCCTAAGAGTATCTGCTTAAGTCCAGACCTGAGGCTCTTTCTAGCATGTGGGCAAGTGCAAGGTAACTAACAGGTGGTCTGCCCTACTGGAGGGGCTTTGGCGCTGTGGGCCAGCTTGGGTGGGCATGCAGCCCAAATGTGACAAACAAGGGCCTAATAAACACAGCTGCACCATGGGTCCGGCTACAGAGCATGAATCCCTGGTAATTAAAACAAGAAGTACTGATTTGCACACATCAGTGTTTCTAGACCGGGCAGCGAGTGAAGCGAGTAATGGGTATGGAGCCACAGGGACATGTAAACCCTGGCTTGTCACTCACTAATTTGCATGACCTTAGCACATCAGAGTGCCTACCAGCGTGGGTCCTCATTTCTCACTGTAAATGAGAATCAAAGTAACCAGCTTCCAGGCTTGTTGTGAAGATTTAGAAAAAAAATAAAATGCAGGCAAAGGACCTAGCACGATGACTAAGCCAGTCAGAAATATTCAAATGCACGAGCTCCCACATTGCCTCAGCTCACCCTTAAGTTAATTGTCTAAGAAGCTGTTTGCAATTTCTCCCGATCTACTTTCTTGGAGCCTGTCAGACCTGCAGTAACAGGAGAACGAGGTTCTCACGCTGGGCCCCCAGGTCACTCCTCTGCCGGGGCTGCGGCCGCCCCGGTTAGACGCCCTGTGCAAACTTGTGCCCTGGCTGCTGGGGGCGCGGAGGCCCGCCCCTCGAGCCCACCGCTCACCCGCGGCTCTGCCCCAACCTGGGCGCGCGAGCAGACGGGAAAGGAAGGCCCAGCACGCACACGAGGCCCGCCCCCGGGCGCCTGCTTCTTCCCGACCGCCGCCCTTGAGCACGGGCAGAGGGCCGGCACCGGAGGGGGCCCGAGCGGGGCGCGCACATCACCTCGGACCGCAGCACGACATTCTCCTCTTCCAGGTCTTTAAGTTTCTTCTGAAGAGAATCCAGATGAAAGTAATTCTGGACCGAGGAGGATGACTCATTCCTCTTCAACCTAGGGGAGACAGCCGGCCGTGTCCTGGGGAGGGACGCCCCGCCCAGCTCCTGGCAAACCCTGGGGCGGCAGCACCGGGGCCGCTGTTTCGAGGGAAATTCATGAAGCGCGCAGGGGCGGAAATGACACGCGGGGAAACAGCACACAGGCCTACCGCCACTTCGGGCCCACAGCGCAGCCCTTTGTCCGCGATCTGTAGTTGCCACATGGCCACAGAATTTGGGGGAATCAATTCTGTTTGAAGCCTACACAACTCCAGGATGCCTGGGAATTTACTTAATACTTAAAATGTGCTTCTATGTTTCCAGAACTGTTTTAAGTACTCTACATATATTAACTCATTTAATGCTTATAACCCTATAAACTATTATTAGCCCCATTTTACAAATCGAGAAAACAAGCACAGAGAGGTTAAATAACTTAGTGAGGAGCCCACAGCTAGAAAGCCACAGAGCACAAGGTCTGACTCAGGCCACCAGGCTCTAGGGTTCATGCTCCTAACACGAGGCTCTGCTGACTCTCAGGTAAGTCCCCACATCGTGGCACCTCTGGTTCCGGAACCCTTTATTATCCTCTAATGGTAGAGCCCCCCCTGTTAATCCATTAACATGACAGGTCAAATCAGTCTAAACTGACATAAGCAAAAAAGACTCAGTATAACTAAAACTTTGTCCATGTCCTACTAAAACAGTAAAATCAACCTATTTGAGGCACTTGGAAATGCTTGGTCTGGAGAAGGCTGAGAGATGCTGGTGAAGGTGACTCTGCCTGGGGAACTCCAGGGACACGGACAGCAGCCAGCCTGTGCTCTGACCTCCAGAGACACAGCCCTGCTGGGACTTACGGGGTTGAGCACACAGACTCGGGCTCGCTCTCCTCCGCGGCACTGGTGTAGAACTGAAGCAGCTCATCCTTCATGGTCAGCTCGTGCCGGAGCTGAGACACCTGTACAAAGGCAGCCGGGCCTGTCATTCTCTCCCCAAATGTGACAACACCCCCACTCATGCTCAGATACATACTGCTTACTGACAGTATCACTATTTTATTTGCTTATTAAAAGTGAAAGTATGTGACTGATTCTGTGCTTGTCATAGACAGGGTTGTATCTGATCCCCTTTAAGAAAGATGCAATCCATTACGGCTAAATTTATAATTTATTATTGTAATTATATAATTAAATTTATAATTATGAATTTATAATTACTTTAGTGAGAGGCAACTGGAAGGCTCTAGAATGATGTCTGGGGGGACAAGACAGCACATGAGCTCTGCAAGTAGCCAGATGACCAGCTGGGCAAATGGCCAGAGAATGGATCATGTTACCAAATGCAAGAGGCCATTCCCTTCTGCTGAAACCAAACACCACCTCAGGCCAGGATCCCAGTGATGCCAGCTCTGGGTGGGCAGCTCTGAGCAGCTTGTTTGCCTTTGCTGTCACACTTGGAAAGCCTCACAGGCTCCCCCTGTGCCTGCTGTGCCCTCACAGGGCTCTCAGCCAAGTTAGGCCAGCCCTTGCTGTATACTCAGTGATCGTGAGACAGGAATTTCAGATACAGGAAGGTAAGAGGCAGCCATCTAGGAACTGGCAATATTGACTACTGCTAGGGCAGTTTTACAGATCACACTGACTTACACTTAAGGTTTAAGGTAAACAAACCTGTGCCATAAAATCTTTTGCTCCCTTTCACCATTTAGTACTAATGAATACAAAACCAGAGCTAGAAGCAAGACCTGAAATTCTCTTTAAATTTTTTATTGTTTCTAATTTGATTTGGGGTCTATGACAATGGTTATTCCAACTTTCCTATACAACACAAGGAGTATATTATGACTTCCATGGAGAACCTAATTTTAAGTGCAGAAAGGCATTAGCTTCAACACGTAGTAATACTTTTAATGATGTGACAAAGGGGAACATATTATAGCTTTCAAATTCAAAGCTTTTCCAAGGGAAAAAGGCCCTTCCATTGCCAAAGAGTAGGATGCTCTTTTTGTGATGTGAGGAAGCCCCAAGCAGGGGCAGTAACACTGAGAAGGGCGACAATCCTTTACTGGTTCCTTTGCTCAGAAGGGGCTGAGAAGAGGACCAGGCTGACCTGGCATGGTTTAATACCCGGAGCTGGGTAAGTCAGGTCAGGATGCTGGCAGGCAGGGAAAGCAGGGGCCTACTTTATTTCTCTGAGAACACAAGTATACTCTACCTTGTCATCTTTTTAGAAAACTTTTCTTATATAGTGGCGACTCTCTTTCATCATATTAAAACTATTATTAATCTCAGGCAATGATAGTTGGAAATAGCCTTAATGAGGAAAAAGTTTGAATATACCTCAGGGACATCAATAAGGGCATTCTCTCCTACTAAGCAAGTTTCTGATAGAAAATAAGGAGAAAGAAACAAGAAGAAGGAAATCAAGTTAAAGTCCTCACAGTTAAAATTCATTGTTTAAAGAACAGGATGATGAGAAAGAAGCTATGAAGTGGGACCTGGCTCCAAGCTTCTCCTCCTTGTTCCAACGGAGCCCTCCCCCTGCCCCTGCAGAGCCTTCCTTCCCCTGCCCACACCACATTCCTTCCGGAAAACCAGTGACACTCCTCTGAAACCTCAGCCCCTTCAGATAAGCCTCAGACATTCATGACCCCGTCACTGCCACCACTGATACCCATCAGACAAGACGGAATCATGGTAAGAGTAGGGTTTCCATCATGAAGACAATAGGCTATTTTTTGTCTTGTTTCACAAACACGGAATCATATTGTAGTGATGACTGTGTAAATCCTGCCTTACTCTGGGGCACCGGCTGGCCCTCCACCAGGGATCCGTCTCCAGACTGCCCGTGCTCACCCCAACGCAGGAGCCCCTGCTCATACTAGGATGCGTGCACTTTTGCCAAACGCTGAGTCATGATCTAGACTCGGAGCACAGGGACTGTGGCTGGCCCAACACACTGAGGCTTGCCTGGGGACTGAGCATAATGGGCCTATTGACTGAGCGAGGGCTGTTCCACACCCCAGGGCGATCCCGTCCACACTGCTGGAAAGAGACACAGGAAATAGGAGGAGCAGCACGTACGCTGCCTTCTACAGGGAGGCCACTTCTGAGCAGGCAGCTTTGGGCCTCAGGACTGGGGCAGGGGAGGGACCCTGTTACGTCATCCATGCCTGTGGCACCCAGGCCCCTCCAGAAGCCTTTGCTGCCAGCTCCTTACCTCCTCCCTGATGTGTTCCACTTGCTCCTCCAGAAGCTCATTCCTCTCGGTTAGTGTCTTGTTCTTCTTCAACAACGACTGGCCAATTCGAGCGGCCAATTCCAAATCCCGCTCTTTCTACAAAAGGCAAAAGCAAGAGTAGAGATTCAAAATCCCCATGCCTGATAGAGCCAACTGTGTTCAGTGTCACCTGAGGAAAACAAGGGCATTCAGATGACAACCGATTCGCCATCCGTTCACCAGCACATGATACCCATTCAGAGAAGCCTAAGCTCTGCCCACACCATGTGCAAGAGCTGAGCAGACCTCATGCAACGAGAGGGATCCTTAAAATCAAATGAAAACAAGCCTCTGCTCCTACGGGAAGAGAATGCTTCCAAAAACATGTCTCTGCAACTGCTTTTGGTACTTGTGTAATTATTTCATAACCTGCCTCTCCAGCCGAGGGCTGACTATTGCAGGGCCAGGATCCAGCACATGGAAACACTCAGTAACAATTTGCTGGATGAATGAATGACTACAGACATTCCAAAATGTTTGCACAATAAAGCCAAGGGCTTACTCAGGGAGGCTGCCTCTTTGGCACAAATTTAGCTGAAATTTACTGAGTTCCTTGTATTTCCCTCCTATCAAACAAAAATGTTTAAAAGTCACACTGAAATATAACATGTTATTTTTATTTAATGGGAGCCCTTTAAGCTTTATTTTTAAAAAATACTTTCAAAATGGAGAGAGAATGCATAAAATTGCCCTACTTGAGAGAGAAAAACTGTGTTAAGGACACAGACTTTTCTGTTAGTGCAGGTGATGACATCACTTAGAGTGAAGCAGCACAGAGGAAAATCTCCAGTGGCTCTAAAGGTACAGCTGCCTTTATGGGAGGACAGATATCCTGACAGTGGGGATGGTGGGGTGGATGTCATCACCAGATGCAGACTTACTACCCCTGCCAAGAGACTCCTGCCACCGTGATTTAGATTCAACTTACTGCTTTTAGGTGGGGGTTAGCAAGGGGAGAACTGTGGAAAACTTGATCATTTAAGAAGCTTATGCCAACTATTCTGTTCAACTGCTATAAAAAGCAGACCAATGGAAATGTGTAGTTCAGAGCAGGAAAAATGCTGGGGAGGAGTGCTGGCTTCTGACCAGCTGTTGACTGACCACATGGCCTCAGGCCAGTGGCTCCTGCTTAACAAGGAACGGATATGCTCTACTTTTTTCCAAACATAGGTTATAAACCATCAGTAGACTGAGAATCATTTTAGTAATAGCAACAGATACTTTGTTTTAAATGAAATTCAACAGTGCAGAATTGAAATACCAAAGTGAATTCCACATGAGGGCATCATCTCACATTTAAACTTTTGTTTAAGTGTATTTACCTAGTTGAGTACTGACTCACAACCTAAGACGTGTTTCTTACAGCAGGTACTGGTCAAGAACTTAATCGCTCTAGGTTAAAACTGTAAGAACTGCATTCTTGTTCATTCTCTTACAAGAATAAACCTAAAACTGCAAGGGTTCAGGTTTTGACTGAACACCCCTAGGGCCCGCTCCCTCACCTGTTAGGTGGGGTAGGTGGGAGGGCAGATGGACTAGCTGAGAGACCCTTGGAAAAACTCTCCTAGCTTTATGACTCATTGAGTCGTGCGATACAAAAACGAAAGTAGCTTTTCTTTCTAGCTTCTTACACATGGACCAAATTATTCTGTGAAATTAAAAAAAAAGTGGTACCCCTTCTGGTGCTTATCAGTCCTCTGAATCACAAGCAGAGGTCAAAGAACAGTTTGGAGATATTCATCTGACCTATTTGGCTCTTTCTTGCACAGAGGTCTCTCTCCCCTAGGTTATCCACAGTCCTGAAACCTGTAACTACTGTCACCACTGTCCTAGAAGCTGGCCAGATGTCACATCAAGTGACCCATAAATACCTCCGACTCATCCCCATATCTGTGTCTCTCCACCATGCCCTCCACATGGAACAGAGGGACCAGTGAGTCTGCCCAGTCAGCCAAGATGGACGCTCATCTCTGCATATTCACCCATGCTGGCCAGTGTCTACCAAGGAGGGTCCTCATCTCAATGGCCCTTTATCACTTCTCTCACTCAACAGTTGTGCTTATTTTTACCTGGAGGAAAGGACCCAAAGGAACTGTGTGAGGGAACCTACCTCTTCAGGAGCTGACTAAAAATTAGCATCTAGTGCAAGGGGTTTTAGAGGACCCTCAGTTAAAACTGCAACACCAATGTCCATTTCCCTGTGGAAGTGTGGTCTCCATAAACTTAACTCACAACTATAAACATCTCCCCTAGAACAAGTTCTTAGACTGAATACACAGCAGGTGCCTCACATCCTTCAGCTCAGTAACATCATGCACTGCCCCACCATCATGTGTCCAGGCTGCTACATCCCAACAAGAGGGGGCATTTGGTATGTTTTAGCCACAGTTTGTATACAGGTTCCATTGCAAACAAATCAAGCAAAAATTTTAATAATGAAGGCTAAGAATGGTAAAAGGGAGGAAAAACCAACGGGGTGGTGCACTCAGCTGTGAAGCTCTTGTCACTCTCATGACACAGGAAACCTCCCGCCAGAGGGACTCCTTGTCCTCCCTGCCCCACAGAGGGGGAGCCCTCACCTCATCATACCCAAAGTCAAATTTTAAAGCAAGAAGGAGAGGAGATTAAAAATGGTGGCGTGAGAGGAGAAACAGAGGCTTCCTCCTAAAACTGGATACAAGCAGAAAATATAGGTGGCGCAACAAATCCTGAGAGAGCAACAGGAAAGAGGACAGCGCCGACTGCACACAATTGGAGAAAAGAGCAGACGTCAGCAAACAGGGTAACTACCAGAGCTGTGGCTCCGCGGGACCCAAGCCCCTCCCCCACCCCAGCTCACTGGCGGGAGGAAGAGAAATGGAGCAGGGAGGGAGTGGAAGGCCTGGGACTGCTGAATACCTAGCTCCGAGATCTGCGCTGGGAGCACAAACCTACATTTCATGGTGCTTTCATGAGACTCACATGACTACTGGGTTGGAGAGTTAATACAGGCAGAGTTCCTGGGAATACTGGGATTCTGGCCGCTTGTGGAAAGAAGGGATCCATATCTGGCTGCTCTGGGACAAAAACTTATACCTGTGTGAGCAGCCCACTGGCTCAGGCAGTGGAGACAGGCACAGCAGCCGGGAGGTGGGGAACAGCTCTTTCCTCCCCCCAGGCACCAATACTGCTCCCCTGCGACCCCCCGACATTGCTTCAGGGGCTGAGCAGCTGCAGAGTAGAGCTTCTGGACACTAGAGGGCGCCATATGCTAACATGAAACGCCAAAGAAACCTGATCGAGAGTAAAATTGTTAATACAACTCTGGAGAAAGATTTAAACCTCTATATGGACCTCGTGACTCTTCCTGAAAGGGAGTTCAAAATAAAAATCATCAACATGTTTATGGAGGTACGGAAAGATATCCAAGAACTCAGGAATAAATTCAGGTCAGAGATCCAATCATTGAAGAGCACGATGGAGGGTATTAAAAGCAGGTTGGATACAGTGGAGGAGATGATAAATGAAATAGAAACTAGAGAAGAGGACTACAAAGAAGCTGAGGCACAGAGAGGAAAAAGGATCTCTAAGAATGAAAGAATATTGAGAGAACTGTGTGACCAATCCAAGTGGAACAATATTCGCATTATAGGGATACCAGAAGAAGAAGAGAGAGAGAAAGGGACAGAAAGTCTCTTCGAAGAGGTAGTTGCTGAAACCTTCCCCAATCTGGGGAAGGAGATAGTTGCTCAGGCCATGGAGATCCACAGATCTCCCAACACAAGGGACCCAAGGAAGACAACACCAAGACACATAGTAATTAAAATGGAAAAGATCAAGGATAAGGACAGACTGTTAAAAGCAGCCAGAGACAGAAATAAGATCACATAGAAAGGTAAGTCTATCAGGCTAA